TACCCCAATCGAGAAAAATGAAAAAATCAGAAATCTAACCACGTCTTACTATATTTTAATTAACTTCATTAGAATAGGTGCTAATAATTTCAAATTTGTATGACAGGTAGAAGAGAAGAAGAACTTCAAACTGGTGTAATTTCTACCTGATTAGGACTTGTCGTTAATTAGCAGAGGTTTGAAATCTACTTCTGAAAAGTACCAGAGGTTTGTTTCAGAAAACTTCATGTATTTGAATGGACCGGCCGGAATTACCCCAAGAAAAATAGCTGACAGGCCGGAATTACCCCATGTGGGGTTATTCCGGCGGGTTTGGAGGTCCCTGTCTCCTTTTGAACACTGGTCGAAAACGGAGAGGGATTTTTAGGAAATTTTTACATCAGCGGATAGAAAACTGTTAGTTCTATCTTCATATTCAATAGCACGCTTATCCGATTAAAAACGCCCTAGAAATACGCAAAATACTAAAAAGAAACTTTGTGCAAGTGGCCGGAATTACCCCATCTGACTCTATAAGAAGTGTTGACAATAATGGATAACACGTGGAAAAACCAGATGTACCTCGACAATGAAAAGTGATAATAAGTTTGACTTGCTATTCAATAGGCCAGTAAAGAAATAAAAGGCGCAAGCGCGGCAGCCTATTTGAGTTGTGTTTATGAATGAGACACAGCGATAAAATGCGAGTGACTTTTGGGATTGAGGAAGCTGGAGAGAGATCTGTTCCATTGGAAATTTACATTATTCTATCTGTAATGCTGAAAATTTGTATATATAATCAACGGAGTGTATTTGATGCAAGTTTGAAGTCCTTGGAACGCCCGTTTTGAGTGTTGGTAGGTGTTAGTGGAGCGTATTTTTATATTAAGTGATTCTGATTTCGGACATCTGAGCGTTAGTAGGTCTTTTGATGGATAACTCAACGCGCTCTATCGAATGGTATCATTGAAATTTGCTTTCGGAGTGTTGGTGAGTGTTAGCGTCTTTTACTAATACCCCAACAATGGTCACCATTACATATGGTTTAACACAATATTAAATTGTTGAACATGAGTATAATCAATTGCCTAGATATTTTATCTGATTCTCAATCTTAATTGGTGATTTCTTTGTCCTCTTTAATTTGTATTCTTGGTAATAACTGTATTCAAGATTACGATACACCCTATGATTTAATATCAAATAAATATTCAGTACCTTCGAATATGTGCAATACTAAGAAACTTTGTGCAAGTGGTCGGAATTACCCCATCTGACTCTAAATCTATTGGTTTCCTTGATTATTTAATTGAAAGAATTTTTATTTCTTTTTTTGGATACTGTCGATTCACAATTACTTGATTTGCCAGGCTTGCGACCAGAGCGACGAGAGATATTAAAATTTTTTGGTGTTGTTGTTGTTGTTGTTGTTGTTGTTGTTCGATCCGGCGGTTTGAATGAATAATAGCTCCAAATAATCTCCTCACTTTCTTTTGTAGACATGTTTGACCTCATACGGGGATCACAGACCTTGCTTTCGAAGTGCTAGTCGGTGTTAGCTTCTTTTACTAATCCCTCATCGTTGCATTTCTAAATATGGTACGTGTCTTGAATGTTTCATGAATTAAGACAGTTGTCCGGTGAAATATAGATTTTTCCATTTTTTTACAATAACACATAGACAATGCATACTGATAGTTCTTCATTGACACTATTCACAAGAAATTCTGTGCAGAAAATATTGTTTTGGAACTTTTCATATGAATAAATAACCCACAGAGTGCTCTTTTAGAATTTGTTTTGCTTCATACGCTAAGATTCTTTTTTGTTGGATTTTTAGAAAAATTTTCTAATAGTTATTCTTAAACAAAAATATCCACATGCTGAATGTCATTCTGCAATAGCGTTTTTTGATAAAAATATAAAATAAACTCAATGGAATATTTAAGTATTCTAATATCTCTCGCACATCATAAATCCGTGAGTCACAGATATCTGAAAGAGAGAGGATGACTGGAACTGATAGAGTTATTAACTGTGTTGACCTGATGGTTTAAACATGAAAATCTGACAGTTAAAACGTCAGATCAGCATGACGTTTTAACCGTTCGGTTGGAAAAACATCAGATTGAATTTGTCTTTTGAAGAATGACTCACAATCTAATGTTTTAATCAGATTATCTGACGGTTAAACCGTTGGGTTGAAACAGTTAAAACGTGTTTTCTTTTTACAGTATGCTCCAAGTTCTACAGAATCCCCAGTGAATTTATAGATTTGTTGGTGATCCTATAGACTCCTTAGTAGTTATCGATCCATCGTTTCCGGTATGGTGAGCATAATTAGACCAAATGGAGAAACTATAATTAATTAACAGCAACCAACTGGAAATTAGATGCCTGTGTCTGACAGTGATGATTTTTCAGATAATTCTTGCGTCGGTAGTTAGTTGGACGTCGTATGTATGAATCTGAGCGATATTGTATTTTCCCAACTGTAAATGATCGGGAATATTTGATGCGTGATTATAATTACTTCAGTCTACTGTAACTTTTACAGAGTTTAATAAACCAATCATCTGATCAAGTGTAAAGATGAGCGAGTTATTATTTAAATAGTACTCGTTGGTTTATTTAAAAAACGGTGTCAGTGCAAGAAAAAACATAACAAAGAAAATAAATAAACAAACACAACATTGCCATTTTGTTTCTCTTTTTTATTAACTAATATTGTAATTCTGATTCGATTAATTTACGATATTGTTCAAAACCATATTCTAACGCTGTTACAGATCCTTGTCGACATAGCCATGCTTCTGTACAGATATGTTTAATTAATAATTCATCGTGAGATACAAGTATCACACCACCTTGAAACTTTTTAATTGCTTGTCCTAATGCGTCAATTGTTTCCATATCAAGATGATTAGTCGGTTCGTCAAGTACTAGCAGATGTGGACTAAAAAAAGAATATATAAAATTAAAGATGAATCAAATATTAATAAAAATATGATCAAACTCTTACTTGCTCATGCACATCACTGAAAATGCCACACGACTCTTTTGACCTCCAGATAAACTCATCACTGTTTGCAATGCTGTATCACCAGTTATACCAAATCGACCTAATTCAGCACGATATTGTTCAATTGGTTTTCCTGCAGTGAAATAAAATGAAAGAATAACATATGAGAGAATAATATTGACATTTTTTATATACCAGGAACTCTTGATTGTAATAATTCAACACAAGTAACATTCATTTCTAATTGATCAACAAAATGTTGTGTAAAATAACCAATTTTTAAATTACGATGACCGTGTCTCATGCCCTTCAATGGTTCTAATTCTTCAACTAACAATTTTAATAACGTTGTTTTACCTTAAACGATAAAATGAATAAATTAGATAACATTACATAGAGAATAATAAGATTTTTTTAGCTTTTTAACAGTTGTTTAAAAACAATTCATATTACGATGATTTGATAGTTTTGTAAAATTTCACATATGATTACTTCAAAGAGAAAAATAGCTAATGAAAAGTACCTGACCCATTTTCTCCCACAATACATATTCTTGATGATAAATTTGCTGATAAATTGACATTTTTTAATATTAAATCATTTTTAGCGTAACCGAAGTAGACATCATCTAATTGTAACACTGTTCCATTAAGGGATTCAGGTTCAGGAAATCGAAAATGTACTTCACGTTCTTTTTCAACTGGTTTCAATTCTGGTCTAAAACATAAAGTATACAAAATCATTCTCTAAACACATGAGATTATGTACTTACAATTTTTCTAATAATTTTAATTTACTTTGAACTTGAGCAGCACGATTTGCATTATAACGAAAACGATCAATAAATACCTGAAGAAAAAAAAAAAGAATATACCATTCAGCTATCAACAACTTTAACAAGTTTTGCTCTTACTTGTATGTGCTGACGATATTCTTTTTGTGCTTCATATTCACGTTGTTGATTTTTTTGTCGATCAATTCGAGCATTCAAAAATGTATCATAATTACCTCTAAACAAAATGAGATTGATCAATTGATAGACTGACTATTATAACACCTATTTACACTCACTTGTAGCTGTCGATTTTTTGAGAATTTAAATGCACTATGTCAGTTGCAACAGTGTTTAGAAATGTACGATCATGAGATACAACCTAAAATAAAAACTCATCATTTAATTAGAATCATCAAAACTTTGATACATTTTCACTCACAAGCAATGTACTTTTCCATGTTTGTAAATAATTTTCAAGCCAAACGATGGCTTTTAAATCCAACATGTTTGTCGGTTCTAAACAAAAAGATTAAGATATTAGATAATTGACATTTTAATATAACTAGTGGCTACTATCGTACCATCAAGAAGTAGTAGATCGGGTCTAAACGAGAAAAATGAAAATGAAAAATTGTTTCGATGAATAAATCACGTATTTTATAGATAAGACAAACATATCGCATGGAAGGAAGTCATAAGATATCGGGTTTTACTCCAGAACATTCTATGATGCTTTATTTTATACGTCAATATAACCGTACAAACAGAATACTCTCGCTAATCGTCTCTGAATCGCATGATCAATTGTAGATCAACTTATCTTAGAAACGGGAAAAACTACAAATCCCCAGTACACATTGTTAGTTTTCAGATGACATAAAAAGAAAGCAGTAACGTACTTGGAAAATAAAGCGCGTGCTAACGCCAATCGCATGCGCCATCCTCCAGAGAAACATCTAGAAGAAAGAATGGTACAATGACAAGATATTTACGAATGATTCTTTATAATCTTGTTTACTTTGTTTCTTTTCCTTGCATTTCTGATGTAAAACCTAAACCACACAGAATGACAGCTGCGCGAGATTCAGCTTTAGCCGCTTCAATCTGTTCAAGTTCCTGATATACTTGTGTTAAACGTTTTGTGAGAAATGAATCTTGAGTAGCACCACTAAAATAAACAGTATTGATGTTAGCTCAAACAGACAAAATAGAAGTTTAAATGAGTTTTCTTTTCATAACCATGGCCGATATTTTTATCAGAACAATATTTGTGCAAGAGAGAAGATAAGATCAAGTGAAAAGCAAAATGTAACCTGAACATCAGTAGTGACGGAAAAACTGAACAAGTTCTCCCCATTTGTCTCCATAAAGTGTGATCATTCAAACAAAAAGTTTTTACTCTAGTGCCAAATAAACAAACCTTGCTTGTAATTTTACGTTTAACTCCCTTTCTTCTTTCAATAAACTCGTTCGTTTCTCATCACATTCTAATACGCTTTGTAACGCTACTGTATCTGTTCCTTCTACTTCTTGTTCAACGTGAAGTATTCGTAAGTGAGATGGAAGTGAAAGACTACGACTAAAATACATAAGAAAGCCATTCAGAATCAGTGAAAAAGAGAGATATTTTTGTACATACTTGGCTATGACACGTAATAATGTTGATTTACCTTAAGAAAGAAAAAAAACAACAGAATTCATTTTAATAATTATAAGGAGGAAACAAATTCTCTGACTCACCAAGTCCATTTCTACCCACCAAACCGTATCGTCGACCGTATATGAGATCAAGCGTACCAGCAAGAATTAGCATTCTAGATATAAGCAAAAATAAAGCAATATAAAGTTGATATAAACTTTATTTAGTAAGAAAGAGAAGTACAGTACAAAGGTTAAAATCGCGGTCCAGGGACCACATTACATTATTCTTTGACATAAGAAAGGGGAGATACTAAAAGAGCGCAAATATAAAGTTATCGTACGGTTGTAAGATAGAACTAAATAACTCAACCTTCAAAGCTAGCTGGTTATTTGTTACTCTCGAAAAATTATGCTTATCTCAACAACTATCATAACTGATTATGAAAATTCGTGATTACTTACTTATTTCCATATGAAATATCAAAGTTGTCAATATGAACATCATAAGATCGACTAGCACCAATATTTTCATTTTCTTGTAATAATTTCTTATTCGTTGCTTGTGAGACAACTGCTTCGTCCATAAAATCTCTAAACAACAAAAGATCTCATTATAATTTTCTCTCGAAAAAAGGAAATAACGAAGGCAGTGGTATTAAAATAGGCTCTGTACGATTCCTTTCGATTAAATTCTGAACACAATTTGAAAGACAGACAGATATCGAGACGAGAATATTTGTTTTGACTAAATGATGATAGAATGCAAGAACTGTTGAATGAAAAGTTCTTTACATCGACTATATAGCAAAAAGAAAAATTTATTTTTACTTTTGATCGTCGTTTGCTGCTGTTGATTTGTCTTTTGCTCTTCTCTCTTGCTTTTCTTTCAATTTTGCTTCCACTTTTTCTAGTTTTTTATGCGACACTGTCGTCTAAAAATCGAAACAAAGTTCGTAACTAAAATATAATAGAACACAGGTGTTGCTATGAATTCTGCACATCGAACGGTTAATTTAAACTCAGCATATGCGAAGATATGTACAAAAACACGATCATTTTCTCTAGCCATAGATGAACCACAAATCTAATGGACCTGAATCTGACTGGACGTTTGTAAAATCGAAGCAGAATGTTTGCATTGACATTAGAATAGCCGATGTGCAAGTACATTTTTCAATGTAAGAAATTTTTTTACTGTAGATAACTCACAGTATCATTTGTTGGTTTAATAAATGTTCTGTCACTGTTAAATAATGCTTTTGTCAACGTGTCTTTTTTGTCATTCCCATTATAATAACCAATTGACATAGGATTTAACAACTTCTTGGGCTCATCATGTCCATTGGACTGTGACTCTCTTAAAATAAAAGACAACATGAAAATGTTCCTAAGTGTAAACATAAGTGAGTTTCTAAATAAAGTGCTACAACTGGAAGTTCATTTTATAGTTTAGGCAAAAATAAAAAGAGGCACATCTGATGCACAAGAGAGATCTTGTCAGAGCTAAAGCCATCTTCTTATGATTATTAGTGGATTCAAAATATAGCGAACTCTGATAGTTTTTGAATAAGAACGAATTAAATGACGAGCGCATTTATAACGTCATCGTTTTCCTCCTATTTTCTCTTGGCTCTACTCAGTTGCTACTTCTCCTTATTTTTTATATTAAAAAGAAACTAGTATCACCTGTCCTCGTCGTCAATAAACGAATGGTCAATTTATAGTGACCGCTTCGGATCTAGGATCTTCAGGTTGTAAAAAAGAACATCCGGAGGTAATCTTATGATAGAATGAGCAAGATTTCAATCTTGCACTCTCTCTATTGTAGAAATTTCTTTTTACATCTGTTTTGTCTTTTCAGGATGATAGAAGAAGCATTTTTCTCCAAAATTGGTAAAAGACTTGACCATACGAATTACGTTTTGATCCAACTAAATCGTGGTTGCGAACAAGTTCAGCAGTAAATTCGAAAAGACCAAAAAGAAAGGCGATCTTCATGCTAGTTTAAGCATCAGAAATTTTCAATTGCAACTCGTCTTACAGAGCTTTTCTGGTGCTACAAAATGGCATATTCAACCTGTCCGTATTCAGTCAAATAGTAACGTAATATTCACAAAACGCAACAGGCAGTTTAAAAATGTACCTTTTTGGGGTATGTCTGTGTTGACTGCATAGGATTTCACGATTGTATTTTACAGGAATTATTTTCATATAATTTTATAGAGAATTGAATGAGTAATTTTTTTGGGAAAAGTTCAAGCCTCAACTATCAAAATTGATAGAGAAAAGCGCAAACTACAAATAATGCCATTCTTTATGAGACATCCGTTAGTTTACTTACGATTTTAAACATTGACAAACATATTCACATAAATCTGTAATTTTTTCATTTTGTTCAACACTGGCTTTATGCACATCTTCTAATAACGGTCGAAGTACATCTTCAAGTTCGTCTATATCTTCATAGTCAGATCGATTCGTTTCTAAGAGATCTAGAAACATAAAAAACGACATAATGAATAAAAATCTTTTGTGCTCTAAACAAATAATTAAACTTGCTTCTGATGTATTCTAATATGTCAGCATTAACGGCTGGAAATGTTTCTTGAATTTTGTTGACGATTATTTCCATATCTTCATTCGTTAATGTTTTTCTTAATATGTTGGTACAGCGGAGAGGTGGAAACGCAAAGAAACAATAAACCTCTAAAAAACAAACAGACAACCAAGATAATGAAAAGCTGCACAAAGGTTTTATATAATTTCCTTTTTTTATATATAATCAAAGCAAAAACGGAGACTCAGTTCGATTTTTAAAGATCGAACTGCTAGAGAAATGTGCATCCTCATATAGCTTATTTGATGCACTAGTATTAAGTTTTTTTGAAACTGTACTTCCAATATGTTCGTCTTCTACCTCCTGTGGGTTTTTCGTCGTAGTTTCCTCTTGCTTTTTCTACTTGATTGACCATAACTGGAATAATCTTCTAAAGCTATTCATTTTTCTTTAACATTATTCAAAAAGCGTTTGAACTTGTTTCACAGTAAATTTAACGTGAGTAAATTGTTTAATAATATTTTAGCCCATAAATTATTACCACTAGTACTAAGCTAAGGTCTAAGAATTATTATAATTAGACAGAAACCCCTATGAAATTAATTCCTTTAGTTAGAACTTGACAGTTTATACAATATGATAATTCAAGCATTTTACCATGTTATTATAAACCTAGTTCTCTCGCTCATATTTTCGGGAACAGCTGGGCTACGCAAACAGAGCTCTAAATAACGAAAAGCTATGTAAAAGTTCATATCAAACAAATAATTGAAAAATTGTTATTGTTGTTTTTTCATTCTACCTCGCACAACTTTCTTTTTATTGATTTGATACTAAAAGGGTGAGGAATTCTTCTTTTATATTCTACTAATATTCGACTACAATTTGGTCCTTAAGATTTCGGTACTTGTGGAATTTAATTACAACCTTATTCACTCGCACATTATGTTATGTTGCAGACGTAAAAGATGAACATTTTGAATTCAATTTTGTAGAAGCAAACTTTTCACTCTTGTTTGTTGCGTATCCTGAGTCAAGATTCGTGACTCTTATAGTTGTTTATGCGTAGGTTGCATAAACTATCTTCTATTCTTCTTCTCTCTTCTGGATTGTACTATTGGTTGCGTTCTGCGTTTCAGCGGTAAATAATGGATCTGACGACGTTGTGTGTTAGCGTCGACTAATACTTGAGAAAACTATATTACAATAGACTGAGTATAATAAAAATTAATAATACTACGAAAATCACTTTATGAATATAGCAATAGATGACGCTCTTTACTATCATGCGGTGAAAGAACACACCATGAGATCAAAATTACGCAACATATGTGAATATGGAAAGATAGTATGGAGATATTTGAGTTATTCTAAATATTTGGGCACTAATCAAATATGAAAAGCGATGTTTGTTTGTTCTATCAAATTTAATAATAGATACAATATATCTGTATGCCTACCGAGGTGCAAACGCGTAACTACGGGGAGGGAGAGGAAGCAGCCCAATGCTATTCGAGCCTCGGTCCAATAAGATTTTGAACTTTGTGGTTTCTTCAGCTGAAAATTTTAAAAACGGATTTTGTGGTCCAGCCTCTTCTCGAATTATCCCAGTGTGACCCAATAGATTTTTTGAACTACGGCAGTTGGCCCAATGGTAACAAGATCCTAGTTACGCCACTGTCCAGGGGCCAGTTTCTTAAAAAAACTTCAAAAAAAGTCAAAAAAAACAGAACTTTTTTGAAGTTTTTTAAGAAACTGGTCCCAGGTCGTTCGAAACGGCTAAGTTAACGGCGTGTTAATGTCCCGTTTTTAATGCAAACGTACCGTTTTGCCGCCGTTAACTAGGACTGTATTACGGTTCATTTTTTGGTCGTTTTATACCGTTAACGTGTCGTTTTCAAAGAGAGAAACTGTGCCCTAGTGACATTTTTTTCTCAAGCGCATACCTGAAGGAACTCATGTCTAATCGATTCTAGTTGTGTAGAAGGCTTTTAGCTCGTTACACTTGATTCCACCATGTTTTACTCGGACTTTTCTTCGAGAACATTGTGGAATCAATTTTTAATGTTTCCATCAATCAGACGATGCTTCCATCACGCCATAACCTTTATCTGAAAAGGAAAACTCAATATTGACACAGAATCAGAGAAAGTACACAGCAATTTCGGACCACTGTTCTTCTACTGTACATAAACACCTCCTAGTCCGTAATCCTAATGTTGAACTAGCAGATTTTCGATAAGCTGTGGAGTTTACTTTTCAGAAACATTTCTTGCTCAGATAAACTAAGTCCCACTTCGCTGTATTTCTCAATTCTGATTCGATCATATAATTGAAAATGATGAAATTAAAAGTGAGAAAGACTGATGCCTTTTAGTTTATTCACTTGTGAGTTTTACCAATAAGGTTATACATTTGCCCTATGTGAAGAATGGAGCATTCACGCTTGAACTTTCAGGAAGTGTATATCCGTGGATATTATCGCTAGCAGGCTTGCCAGTCAGGGGGAGGCAGGGGAGCTGATCCCTCCCTAAAAACATTTTTGGACTTTCCGACAAAAGCTTGGACGCTTTTCCACAAGCAACTTTCTGCCAAAAATTTAGAAATTTTTTTTCGTTCCACTTTCCGCGTGGAAAATTTTTTAGTCTCTCCCATCTCTGAAAACAATCGGAAACCCTGATCGCTGGAACCAGTTCGTTGTTAAACCCATGCTAACATCCTGTGAATCAGGCGGAATAGCTGAGCTCCAATTCTCTATGTGTCAAACAGGACCGAACTGATCTTTGCTACATCCTGAAAGTCATTAATGGCAAAGCGATCTTACACCGAGGATACTCACATTTGTGAAGACATCAGCATTTGAGGCATTTTCTCACTTCTGTACATTTTTATTTTGATCTAACGGCCAAGGGATGCTGTTGCTACGACCTTAGACGTTTTTTTCGGCAGTTTTTCCTTGTCTTAAATACACTGCAAAAGAATTGTAATCAGTAATGATTTGAATAAATATCTAGTCAAATCATTACTCTATTGTAAGTGTATTATCAAAAGCCAGTGTTCAAATTTATTTTGAATGGATAATTATTGATTACAATTCTTTTGCAGTGTATTTAAGGCAAGGAAAAACTGCCGAAAAAAAACGTCTAAGAATCACGAAAGGAAGCACTTCCTTGGCCGGTAGATCATTTTGAGATCTTGCACAATCACTGTGTTTAACTGAATCTATATAGAAGGAGATATCTTAGATTTGATGCATTATCTGAGAAAGATGAAGTCCCGTAATATGACCCAAGAAGGATATAGTTCAATTCTGCCACTAAGGAAAAGTTAGAAGGATTTATTTATCTTAATTCGTTCCCTCTCTCTCTCGGAAATGCTGTGTACTTACCTTATCAAATTCAAATTCTTCATTTTTTTTAATAATTTCTGTGAGAAAAGAACAAAAACACGTAATTTGCAAAACAAAAACGATAAAAAACAGTTTCTCATTGTATTATAAAAAGCCGAAATCGTATGTGTTTATAAAGCAAAAGGTTCTAGTTTATATATACAACGGTCATTCTTTCTTTTTTTAAAAACATTGTTATATAGAATACACGTGTGTAATATATATATACACATATCTACTCAGCGGTTTCTATATATTCATATGCATCACGTTCGAAAAAGACAACGCGGATTAGAGTTGCCAGATGCTTAGATCGGAAAAGAGGAATAAAAAGTCAAAAACGCGAAATTTTTTTCCAAAATGCGGAAGTGTATTTTTCACCAATCGTAAAGGAAACGATGATTTGATCGATGACGAAGATTTTTCTAGAGCTTTATGGTGATTCTACTTAAGAAACACAAAAGAAGTATAAAACATCATTTAAATACTAGAGCCGTATCAAATAAGGAATATCTCTATCTTTTCACATCTTGGCAAATGTTAGCAAATGTCTATATGTTAGGAAATGTCTATATAAACATGTGTTAACATTTGCCAAGATGTGAAAAAATAGAGATATTCCTTATTTGATACGACTCTATTAATTTGAATCGATATTGGCTTTTTGTGGATGCGCGTTTTTGATCAGCCGTCATCAATTTCGAGAGTTACGTATGGCAGGATAAAATTTAATTCGAAACTTTCCCTCCTACGACAGCACTTAACGGTTAAGATTTTCTGATCGAGTTGGTTTTCTCGAAGATTAGTATTTCACTATTTTTCACACTCCGTTTCAGCAACATTTGAGACAAGCTAATGTTTTTCTGTTACCGCTCACTTCTGGGGCGAATTTTTGATTTAGTTTCCAAAACAGTGCGCATCTGTCTTATAAAAGCTGCAAAAGCATTGTTTTGACAGGTCGTTCAGTGACCGAAGGCGTCAAATTTTTTTATGAGAAAATGTAAAAATCTTCATTGCAGGAAAACGGACAAAGACAAAACTCCTCAAAAAGCGGACAAATTGCGGAAAAAACTACAGAAAGCAGAATTTGTGCGCAAAATGCAGATCATCTGGCAACTCTGAGGCGGATAGAAACACGAAAGAATATAACATAATAGGATATACTAATGTTATCACATATTATGTGATAATTACGGGGACCGTTTTCATAACGTAACTTACGGACTGTTTTTATACCGTAAATTAATGGTGTAAAAATCGATACATTAACGTTGACCGTAAAAGGCGTGTTTTACACCGTTAACGGGCCGTTTTTATGCTGACCGTTAACGTGCCATTTACACGACATTAACGGATCGCTCTGTTCGCATGGGTATCTTTCAAGTTTTTTATTTTTTTCACCGTCGTTAATAGCAAAAACACGACTTTAACTTTGTATGTCACAAGAACTTGAAAATCCATCCCTTGTACCGTGAACTTACAAAAAAATCCTGAGAACGAAAGATTTCCGTTATAGGACTAGAGTATCGATCTTCAATATAAAGATGGACAAGTCCAAATCCAGACTTGCCATTTTTTTTAATGTACTTGAACTGAGATTTTGTTCAAGGTAAATCTGACTTCTTCTTGTATCTTGAGCACGATCTTGGGTTAAGAAATGTCACAAAATCTTGGGAAGAACATTAAGAAGTCAAGAACTTAAATTCTTTAATCTTTCACTCAAGATGTTACCCTAGTGAATGTACTTGAGATCAAGTACTTTGTTACTTGCAAATTTTCTGAAGTACTGGGTTAAGCACTTGTCAAGCATTTTTAGATTTAATACGTGTCAAGTACCGGGAAGAACTTTTCAGATACTTTCATGTATTTCGCAAGTACGTACCAAGTACCTGCCGAATGCTTGATGACGTACTTGTCTAGTACTGATACTTGTTACATTACTTGATAAGTACCTTTTTTACTTACAGAAAAACTCCGGGTACTCTGGACATTATTTCCACAAGTAGTTGTCTGAGTACTTGTACAAAAGTATATTCGTTAGGGTAGCGGATTATCAAAAATGACTTTACTGAAGTATCAGTTTTCGCTGATTTCTCAGCTTTAATTGTTTTTATTTGCTGTGGAACCGTTAGATTCAGAGAGTTTTGCACGAAATAATATCTAACAAAGAAGGTTGTAACGAGTATGAAAGAGCAAGTGCTCTGGAAAACTCGTCATGTTGCAGTATAAGAGATGAATAAAATTTGAATCAAAATGCATTTGAACAGGGACTTTAGTGAAAATAAATCTAACTGGCGGTTAACTTTAACTTAAAATTAGGTGAAAGACAGTGGCGCATTTGGTCAATGCAAATCTTGAAATCTATAATTTCAATCTATAATTTTTTTGTAGCAAAAAGTTTGAAAAAACTTTCTTTTTCAATGATTTCAAATGAATTCTGATGACTTGTCTCCTCTTTTTTTATCAAACTCGTGGAGTTTTGTCGAATCGGTCAAGGATGCTGGATGCACCCTATCAGATCCACAAAGGTCATGATAAATTTTAGAGGAATTCGGCATTATCCTAGGATAGATATTTTTCTACCTACATACACATCAGCTGGATCTATAGATGTTAGTCGACCTACAATTCATTGACTCCCACTCTAGTGAATAAAATAAATTCTAATCCTTTCTGTTATTCTTTTTTTCCACTATAAAGTCAAAATATTTGTTCTCACTTAGACCTCTCGAGTCGCATTCATCATAATTCAAGTATCTAGAAGTTCTACATTATATTACTTTCAATAATGCTGTTGTCACCTTCATTAAAGATACTTTTATTTTATCTGCCCTCTTATTGACTCATAAAGTCGTTAATCAATGGAATAATATGAATAAAAACGTTTGCAAATTTCTTAAAATGTTATTTCTTATGTATAGCAAGAAATGTATATCTATCGATTTTGTCTGACATCTTATTTTTAACTATCTTTATATTTTTTATTCGGTGAAACTCGATAGTCTAATTCGGAAAACTATAAATATCTTTGTTATCTAAGTGTATGTTCTTTTTTCAAAATTAAATTGATTTAAAATATTGACTCTTTAATTTAGTGTCCTCATCCTTTGGCGTTTTAGTTTAAATATGCAAGAACACGCCATTTTATAAATAGTACTAATTTTCATTTGTTTATTATCAAAAATAAATACCATTTATTATTCTAGGTTGTATTGGTAATATAATTTGTTGTTTGTTAAAATAGTTGTCTTCTATCAATAATCAATTAGATTATTTTGTAACACAATATCCGCATTGCTACATTTTTAGTGTCAAGGAAATAAATAGGCAAAACATCTTGATATACACAGTAGAATTATGAAAATCGATTTCTTTTTTTGTCAATAATGCGGTGAGAGACTTAGGATTAGAAACATCGTGCTAGAAATGTAGAAAGTACAAATAATAATAATGTTTGGATAAAAAGTTTTTTGATTCAAAAGATCAAGCTGATTAATTTCAAATACCCATCCGGGCTCATTGAGTAGAACAACAGTTATAGTTAAAAAAGTGTTTAACATGAATAATATAGTGATGTACTTTATGGTTTCTTATTTTACGAATAGACAAGAATATTCCATACTATCATCTGAAATTTTCGTTTTTTAATGGACTTTGTGATCATATTCATAAGTGCAATTTTCTATTTAAATGTTTATCAGTAAAATAATGATTTTTTTGTTTTGTTCTCATCTCAAATGTTCCTTTTCTCTCTCTCTCTCTTTCTAAAAGATAAAAGGTCATATCGATAAACGCGAAAAGTGATTCTTCTTCTTTCTTATTTCGATACGTAACAAAACAATAATCATAGAGTTAAAATCACAGAAACATAAACAAGTTAAATAGCATTCAAGAAACAAAAGAAATAACCTACGACAAATGATTTTAATATAGGTATGTACAAATATTTATTAATACATTTGTGAAATATCAAAACTTTGTTCAAATTTGAAACTAACAAACAAATCAACACATTTGTTCAATAACATCATTTAGTACTACTACAAAACGAGTTGGAAAATAATCAATTAGAAGATTGATGAATGTAATTTTAGTATTTTTCTTCAATTTTATAAATATTTACAAGAGACAAAGGAAAAATCGCATAATGATTTTCATAATCCTTTCTTTTAATATCATAACTGTTAAAAATCTCGTCAATTAAACATGAAGGTGGAGTCTACATATCAACTAAATCAAGAAATTTTAAAGCTTGTTCAATCGAAACCAAGTGTAGATTTAAACTCACTACGGTCAATTATCTTATATGCAACAGATTTGGATCGAGATAGTCCTGAAAAAATTTTCATTCTTGATTTTATTCAATCATTTTGATGTCTACAGAGAGGACCATAGACTAGACTAGACATTTGTTTTCAACGATACTTTGGCTCAAAATTTGCTTTATGTAAGGTAATTGACAATAGAGAATTCGAAGCTGCAATGGTTTTGATCGAACAAGTTTTAAAATTTCTCGATTAGATGTATATTATAAAACAGTTAAAACAGTTGCAAACAGATGCATAGCCAAATTAGGATTTTTTTAGAAGCGTTTTTTAGCTTGATCAGCTGTATATAGATTTGTATTCAGGAATAAGCAAAGTTGAAAAATCAGCTTTTACTAATTATATCATAAACCGGTAGTCTTGTACTCTGTTTAGTTGCATTTCCATCGTGTATGATAATATGTCTTTGTCATGAAGTATATTCTTGTTTGAGCATATGCATAGACGTGTACATATTGTAGATAAGAAAAATTCAATTTGAAATGTGTAAGGTGAAGAAAATTCTTATCTCTTGTAAAAGTTTATTTTTTCAAATCTGTACAGCACAGTACATATGACATAGAGAAAGAGTGAGAGAAATATTTTGTTTGAAAACAAAAACGAAAAGAAAGGAACTAATTTATGTGTCTTAAACAATAATAAAATTAAAAAAAAAAAGTCTCACACATCACAAGGCAATATGGTTTATTTGCTCTTCTTCCTTCTTTTTTTCTTTTTTGTTTTCAAAATCAAATCAAATTCATAGGATAAACGAATTAGACGATGAGTTTAGACTTGTATATCCTATCAATTTCAATGAAAAGAGAATGGAGACTATATAAAAATATCAAATTTATAAATAAAAAATTAAATCAATTAAATCCAAAGGCTACTACGTTGTTAACTTTTCTTATAAAATATAATTATTTAATGTATCAAATATTTAGATGATAATCATCTCTACTTCTATTTTCACGATGAGAGGAGTATAATTTGTTCTCTCATTCCACCGTGGTTATCTTATACTTGAAAAAATTTCAATTTTTACTACTAACCACATTGACTCTTTCGAGTACTCTCACGTTTACTTAAACTCTATTATATTCTTCCCAGTGGCATACATAACGAATAGAAGAGGGTTGTTACAATTGCGTTTTGAGATTCTCGTTGCGTCCTTGATTAGTCTCGAGTATAACCTATAGGAGATGAAGAACCCTTATTTTCAGAGATGAATGCCGTTGAGAGCAAAAATGTAGGATATCAAACGTTGAAAACAATGGAAATTTCAACTCTTGGCGGTGCACTTATATCTTTAAGATGTTTCTCATTTATTCTATACTTGTTCATGCTACATCACCACACAGAACGGTAAAAATTTCAGGCTCTTTATTAGAATGAGTAACTCAGACAAAATTCAGCTCTAACTCTAAGTTCAACTCCGTCGGTCTCAACTCTAACTCCATTTCAACTCAGATAAGTACTTTTTCATCGATGTTGGCATCGCATCATAGAACGAAAAAATCTAGTGTAATGTAATAAAAAAAGCAAATGAAATGTCAGAGTTGTAAAAATTTCGAACCGGAACTGCGGAGGTCGAGTTATTGAGTCCAGACTCAACTCAACTTGGGGATAATAGAAACACAACGTTACTCCATCAAAAACCCGCTTAACTTTGAAGTTGGAGTTGTCCATCTCTCCTCATTATAAATAGAGTGGTACCGTGTGAAAAAGATACGAACCTATCGGCAGAAGTATGAACGAGAAACGTCTTGGCGGCATCAATTTCGATTAGGGGGTGGATGGTGAGAAGCGCATGCTTACTAATCAATAAAAACACAGTTGCTCAAAAAACTATATTTTTACTCAGTAAGATTTAACCCTTTCCTAGAATCTGTATCGAAAATGCTGTTTAGCGATGAACGTCCACCACCTAGAATCGCCATTTTCCTTTTCAATCTTAAGCATTATACGATTTTATTTTCGATGTTTTAGTTTTTAGATCATTCATTAGCTCCACCTAATAAAACAAAGTCTATTCTTTTTTTCTTTTATTTTAATGAAATAATTATTTCGATTTTCTCGAGTAAGAAGTAATACATATATATGTCTTGGAAAATATATAATTGGTTTTATAATATTTCTCAGACTGCATATGAGTTCTAGTAAAAACTGACTGTACAGAAATTGTGTATACCATCAGACAGATATTATAGAGAAATTTATAAAGTATTCGCGTTTAATAGAGCCCTAGAAAGCCAAAATGGTTAGTGTTGTTCTATCGCATATATCTATCATACAGAATGTTCATATTTCTTTTTGCTGCAACTGTTGTATGATGTTGTATGATTTTTCATAAATAGTACATTAGGAGAGTAAATCACTTATATGTGCTGATGGAATATCTACATGGAGTACTTCGTAGAAATGCCACGTTGAAGACTTCAATTAAAATTTTTGATTTTTGAATATGATTTTAAAGATTCACCCCTCATAGTAGCCAAATCGCCGATAAAACATTTTGTTAATTATTATATGAACAAACTGTGCGTCACTGTCGATAACAATAATGTTACAAGGAGGGAGACGACGTATGAGTGCTGTTGATAAACAGGCGGAGGATATGACTTGGTATGCGTTCTATTGTCGCAAAGACATGAGAGTAACTGATTTCGTTTTCGATACGATTTAGTTTTGTACTTTTTTTGAACGTATGGATGATCAATTATCCAGATGAAAGCCTTGTAATCAAATAATTAAAATGTTACGTATGAGTGTATATTGTATTGATACAATGAATTTACTTGTGTAATTTGCATCAGAATAATAAATTGTTTGATATCATTCAAAAAACATCTTTATTGTTATTAGAACGAGAAAAAGAGAAAAATTTTGTTCATATAATCAGTTTTACAGAAGTTGAAACATAGATCATTTTGAAAATTGCGAAAAGATTCAAAAATGAATGGAAAATATAGGTTATCAACTATTCTGCATTTTATGGCTATCTGATTATAACTCTACTAAAATTGAACCACATTGTTTGAAACTTTCAGAATACGAACTTTTACTTATTCGTTATGCAATATAAGGAAAAATACAGAAAAATTGCTTTTGTTCCAACGATTTACATGACACTTTCCAGAATAACACCTTAAGAAGAAGAAGAAGAAGTAATCGAACATTTTTTATTCATCTCACAGTTCTCTTCCCATTTGAAAGTTTCAAGTGATGTAGTTCGATTTTGATTGCATTCTAGATATTTTATTTTCACTTTTTACAAAGTAACTTAATCAGTTGGAAGCAAAGATTTGCTTTTTTTTTTACTATGATTAGTTATTGTCTATGTGTTTTGTATAAATAGGAAATATTTCAGCTCTCCATACGTTTTCTATAAAATACAATTTGAAAAAGTACCATTATTCTTTTTTTTGAATGAACAGTACTAAATATTGTGTATATTGTTGATTTTCATAAAATTGATGAATGGTTAAACAAATCCATATTGAAATCGTTAAACAGCTGAAATATAATCGTTAAATTCAACACCATGAAATTGATTAGATATGGCGAAATGAATAGGTAATACATGGATTAACTTTCGCGTGAATATTATGTTTTCTTAATAATCTACCAGTTGTACCAAAAAACAATAGATAATCAATCGACAAGGACATAAAAGATTTTTTGATTGATGTAAATTGACGTAATACCATCATCTGACGGTACTGAGGTATCATTCAACATTTGAAAGAACAAAATTATACAAAATAATTGTGATGTAATGAAAAAACTAAGCTGAATTAGTAAAAGATGATTCGATCCGTATGTTGCTGTTCTATACTGTCCGATAAAAAAAGAGTGCTTTGTTTTGATGATATGTTAACTCTCTTAAAGTAAACATAAAAGCTTTGAATAGTTAAGTACACTTGGTAACTAGAGCAATTCAAATTAATTGGATATGGTAAAAACTCCAGTCCTGCGTGTCTTTTAACTCAGATCACATGCGGAATTATGATGAACATTCAAACAGAAAGAATAAAAAGGTTAAAGTCAATACCTGCGATTTTTTTTCTTTTGTTCTTGTACGAGAAAACAAAGAAAGAACAACGAAAATACTCATTTCCCTTTCGTTTTTTGCGATCATGTGTTATCCAGTAACTCTGAAAAACTACTCCTTATCATAAAAACATTGTGTGTATTTATACTGTAGTTTTGTGCAGTTTTCGTTTATATTTAGAATGCATATGAAAGAGAATACATGTTGTATCGCTTAATTCAGTATCTCGGCTTGTCTTAATCTCTAAACGACGAAATAATCGGAAAGTAAAAATTTTTAATATGTTCTGATAGTTTCGCTTCAAACGTCACATAGGTTTCGCAATGTACAGAGAACATTTTGATATCTTGACAGAGTAGTTATCTCACTCACGGCATTTTAACAAATTCATCTGATACCGTTTACTACCCGGGCCATAGCAAACGGTGTAATTAATTGTCTATTAAACATCCATTAATGATCCATCCAATGTTCACATTTTCAGATCGTTGCGATAATTTTTTGACCGTTTTTATGCATTTTTTTCTGACTAGTATTGTCTTTCAAGACCAAATTTACAATTTTCAATATTTTTTTGGTTTCTGAGGACCATGGTCCCGTCACTAGTGCCCATCTCAGAACTAGAGGCGGCTACTTCATGAGACAAGTTGCGATGACCTGAATAATTGAAGAAGAGAAAAAATCAAGAAAATTAGATCTCATTTTAGATTCATAAATTAGACTCATATTTATACTAGTCATAATAGTGAAATAAAAGAGTAAATGATTTGTTGAGAAATGGTTAAAAACTGACATTTAATTGTCAGCATTCAGTACTAATTTTTTTCCTTATATTTTAACTGTTCTAAAATGGCATGTTAATAGACAGTTCATGACGATGTGAATTTCAGTTTTAAATGCATACAGTTAAATACCTGTTTTTAGGTCTGATTCATAGTGAAATAACAGATAGAAAACGGTAACTATTAACGGAATGTTTTTTAACAATTTTTATCTGATTAAAATTTTCGTTATGCCATTAATACGCTATGCATGAGTTATTAAAGTTCAGTTTTCGTTAACCTGGGTATTTGTATTTACTAAGTTTTTATGTCACATGATTTCCTATAAAATGAAGCATATTTTATCGCGCATGTCAGAATACTTTTATAAATAGAGACTCTTCAAAATTATTTTCACAGCTACTGAGACTCTTACATTTACAATTGCGATGACAACATCAGAATGAGACACTGTACTTTAGTTGTGTAATAAATATCAGAACAATAGCTTTGTGTATGAGACACTATGGTTCTTGGAAAAATATACAAGTATTTTCATTTGTCATGTACCATTAAAAGTACTGGTCCAAGCGTACTTGAAATATTTGATTTTATTGAGAGTAAGAGTTCTGATAAATAGTCCGAAATTTGCTAATTAAACATAAATAATTCAAACAGTAACCTTATACATTCTCTTTATGCAAATATATTCTTACATTGGAAAACCTCCGGTTGTTTAATTTTGTTAATATTGTATCGTGTATTTTTTTCTACAATCTCTTTTTGTCTAACCATGTAGATTTTTGTTACTCACTTCTTATAAAGGGTCTTGCTTGTGTTAAAGATAATCTCAGCGCACATCAGTAGCTCCTTAGAAAGGTACTATAATATCACCGCGTTGCTTACGAAAACGTCTCTACTTTGTTGACTTATTTTTCAATGTTCAAACGTCAAAATTGATAATATTGTGTTCTTTCAACATAAAATAAAACCTGTTTACAAAGCAAATATCACGCTACAAGTATTTGTATAGCATTAATTTGAAAATAATCATAAAATACTTGCAATTCTACTTAGACAAATAATTGAACAGGCATCTGTAAAGTGAATAACCGAGTGTTGCCAATTTACTTTTCAAAAAGGCAAGTATTAGCTTCATTAAGCCAACGAAGGATGTGTCAAACTTGCACACAAGTACATTTACTAACGGAAACGGATAAAGAACACTAAGTAAAAAGTTTATTTTCGAAGTGTTTTAGTAAATTTTTCGTTTGTATATAGAAATTAATGGGTATATACTACTAGTTGCTGTTTCGTTGTAGGATAAAATATGTTGAGACACCATATTATTTCCATGTTGTGTTCAAATTGTCTGCTATTACTTATATTTATTTATAACGTTGGTATGTTTTCAGTACGATTCATACTATTTCTCTTTAACAGTGACGAAATTTTTCCTTTTAGAATCTCAATCATGTGGTATTCATGAGTGGCGATGTGAAACAGGTGGAAGATGTATTCCACAAACCTGGAGGTGTAACCGAGTACACGATTGTACAGATGGATCAGATGAAAGAAATTGCAGTATATATCTTACCGTTATTTTTATATCTAAATGAACTATTTGAATTAATTTTTCATTTCAAAGCATATCCGAGATGTTCTGATACTCAATTTGATTGTGGTGATCGTTGTATACCACGAATGTGGCGATGTGATGGAGATGACGATTGTATAAATGGAACAGATGAATTGAATTGTCGTAAGTACAACGGGTACAACTGTTAAAAATCTTAAAATTGAACTCTATATTTTTGTTTGTTATAGCGCCACGGCGATGTTCTGCAACCCAATTTCAATGTAATGACTCTAGATGCATTGACGCGTCAATGAGATGTGTATGTATATGAATTTTTCATTCATTTTATCATTCTATTCATAAATAATGATGTTTTATGTTTTAGAACCATGTTAAAGATTGCATTGATGGAACTGATGAAGGATCATTTTGTAGTAAGTTAGATTATTTTAAACTCTCTCATAGAATACTGCAGAGTAACATAATTTTTATTGATAGATGAAATTTTAGTCAATATTATTGTAAATCTATTTCGTCTATGCTAATTTAGATTATCGCGTATGTGATCAAAGTGAATTTCAATGTGATATTCAACGATGTATACCGCTTACACAGAAATGTGATGGATATTTCAATTGTAACGATAGAAAAGATGAAGAAAATTGCAGTAAGTGAATATATTTTAAAATTAAAATGGTACGCTGTTGAATGAGATTTGGTAAAAAAGCTAGAGACGTTCGATTTTTGCCATAGTTTTAGACAACCTCTTCAAAATGTGAGTCAAGTAAGGCTTTTATCTCCTTTGATTGTATTATGGGCTTCGTGTAGAGTCGGAAAGGAGTGAAACATAGATTATTGATCACGTTGAGCCTTGTAACAGTGTTTATTTCGTCTTTCTTAGATCAAACCGCTTGTCAAACTCATCAATTTCGATGTGCCGATGGTACTTGTGTGGGAAGTTATGCAAGATGCGACTTTCGCACACAATGTCCCGATGGATCTGATGAAGCAAATTGCAGTATGTAACTCTTTCGATTGGATAAACTCAATTTTAACAACTAATTTTTCATAAAAGCAAGAAGAAATTGTACAACTGGACAATTTCGTTGTTCGAATGGAAAATGCATTCCATCTGCATGGGTTTGTGGTGAGTTTATTTATACACCGCATAAAACGTTTTACATAGTAACAACATCAAAATTTTCAATTTTTTATTTACAGATCAAGATGATGATTGCGATGATAAGTCAGATGAACAACATTGCGGTAAGCGTAAGAATAAAAATGAACAAATTTCATTGACACATGTATTTATTTTGCAGAATCACGTCAGTGTCCACCGCATATGTGGCCATGTAATGTTACTGGTCAATGTATTGATATAACAAAAGTCTGCAATGGTGCTCAAGATTGTAACGATGGTACAGATGAAACGTCACAATGTGGTAAAATGATATTTTATTCTGTTTTCATGATCAATATGTTCAATGAATATCATTGAAAGTTTAGAAAGTTTTAGTTTACTTATTGTTATTCTATATTTGAAGGTAATCGTTTATGTGGTTCATTATCATGTGAACATGCTTGTCGTCCAACTCCAAATGGACTTGGAATTTGCTATTGTCCATTTGGATTTCAATTAAATATGACAAATAATCGATCGTGCATTGGTAAAAAAAATTTATTTATATTAGTAAATTTTTAATCATTTATTCTTTTTAGATATCAATGAATGTAATGTTTGGGATGAATGTGATCAAGAATGTCAAAATACAATTGGATCGTATGTTAAACAATTTATACTTTTTTAACTAATAATAATAATTTGATTTTTTTTTTCTTATTTTAGTTATGTCTGTTCTTGTCGTGCTAATTATACATTAGAAGCGGGAACTCGATGCAAACATGTTGATAGTTAGTTGAAAAAATTTATAGATTAATAATAATAAGACAAGAAATAAAATATCTTTATTTATTAACTATTATTTTTCATCTTTTTCTTCTTCTTCTAGGTGATAGCATGAAAATGTTTGTGACCATTGCTAATAAAATATATGAAATTGATCGACTAGGAAATTCTCGAATAATATACAGTGGCTTAGAAAATTCTACCCTTTTTGCCATTGATTATCATTATCGAAATCAATTAATCTTTTTCACCGATCCATTACAACATAAAGTAAGAAAATGATTCGTTTTTTTTTTTAAATTTTATCATTTTTATATATAATAAATCTTCTTTTTGAAGATTTATTCATTATCATACAATAATCCAAGATCGACGCCTATAGTCATATTGGAAAAAAATATTTTAATGCCAATATCTTTGGCTGTTGATTGGGTGACAAATAAAATATACATTGTCGAAAGTAGTGTGGCTCGTATTGATTTAATTACATTAGATGGAAAAATGAAAACAAATATTGTAATTCAAAATCTTTATCAACCAACATCCGTGGCTATTGATCCAATAGCTGAGTAAATAATATTTATAATATTTTATTATATTTTTTTGATTCAATATTTTAATTTTATATTTTAGATATTTATTTTTTGCTGATCAAGGTGATCAAGTTAAAATACCAGCTAAAATAGTTCGTTGTCTATTAGATGGTAGTCAATGTACAGTTTTAATTGATAAAAAATTACATCATCCAAATGATTTGAGTGTTGACTATATTAAATCACGAATCTATTGGGTAGATACAAGTTATGATCATGTTGAAAGTTGTGATTATCATGGTTCAAGACGGTAAAAATAATTAAAATAGACTATCAAATTTCTTGTAAATAATTTAATTTCTTTTGTTTTGTTTTAGAATTACAATTTTAAGTGGTGGTCAAAATATTCCTCAAGGTTTTAGTTTAGATTTATTTGAAAATAATTTATATATTACGGATTTAACAAAAGGTGCAATATTAAAAGTTCGAAGACATTTTAATTCAAATGGAACATATTTTTATAAACCACAAACACCTATTCGTCCCTATGGTATTAGTATTTATCATTCAACACGTCAACCATTTAAACAAGATCCATGTAATGGAACACAAAATGGAGGTTGTCAACACATTTGTCTATTAGGACGAGCAACTTTATTAACAAATAGTTATCAATGTCGATGTCAAAGTGGTTATCGTCTCAAATCAGATTTGAAATCATGTGAACGTATGTATCTCGAAGATATAATTAACATAAAAATAATCACACATGCGCACATACACACTATTGTCCTTTTCTGAAAACGAGGCGGCTCGGCAGAATGCTTATCACATTCGAATGAAAAGTGATAGAGACATGCGGATTTCACCGGGAGCGTAAGCGTATGCAAAAACTAGGCTTTCAGGTAAGGTTTACCATGGTAAGCCTTTCGATGCAAAGTCTACGAGATTGCCATTCCTGGACAGTACGATGGATTTTGATTTTCAAACAGTGCAATTGATAGCCCGAACCGAGATCTACAATTCTAGACCAGTCTTAACTCTCTATCTCTTATGATTCAGGAGCCATACGCATTTTTCCGAGAGTCTCGATTTCGGTCAGTTTACCTTGGGTGATCCTAAATGGGTCAAGGTAGGGATAATCGGCCACGCTGAGTCGAGCAGAGATGTTTATTTTTAGTTTCAAACCGATAGTTTGAAACTAAAAATAAACATCTCCATTCCTACTCGACTCAGAGTGGCCGATGTTTAGTTTCACGTTCTGTATTTTAAAAAATTCTTCTATTTTTTCTGAAAGAGTTTTTGAAAATCGTTACAAATTTATTTATATTAGTTTTATCCGAGGTACATACTTTCACACAGTAGATGACTTCAGGCTTCACAATAGTGAATAAAAATAAACAAGTCAGTTTCGGTAAAAAAACGTTATATCTATAAGTTATAAAAGCTGGAGCACAATGGACATTGATGTGAACATTTATCATTGTATTATTCACCATTTAGATGCAGTAATATAAGCTTTCATATGAAGACTGTTTAACGTCATATAATTCTCAGTCATATTTGATTAATATAAAAATTATCAGCAAAAATCGACATAATTTTGTTCTTAAAGTTAAAGAAAATGATAAGGAATTTTTTTTGCTACTAATACTATAGAATTTAATAAACGAGCGTTGTAGAAGCCAACAGGAAAAAATCTGATAGAATAAACCGAAGAATTAACGTTTTTCATGCGGAGAAAATTTCTCCTAAATACATCGTCAGTGTAGTGAGTTTCCTAAATTTTCCTAATGTTTTTTCTTGCTGAAACTTGGTCCAAACACTATTCCCAGTGTGATGATGATGCATATCCAAACATACGTAAACTTTCATGTATTTTATCAGCAGATTTTGAAAAATCGATGATTTTCACGTTTTTTCTCGGCTTAACATCATGTTTTTTTCGTAAAACCAATGACATCGAATGAGATATATGAGAAACTTTTTTAAGAGAAAAAAATTTCTTCGAAAATTTTTGCCTTTGCAGCTCAGCCCTGTCCTCCGTGAGAGATCCTTTCTTTAAAAAAAAGGTGATGGTATAAGTAATTTTAATCAACTCTTACGTCATAAAACAAGTTATAACTATGCAGAAAACGACATGTTTGTATGATAAACTAAAAAAGGCCAGTGATCAGAAGAGGGAAAGAAAATGTCAAATAGAAAAATGAATATATAAATGATTATATTGATTTCAATTTTAGCGATAAAAGATTTCTTAATATTAACTCGAACAACGTCTATTCGTGGCATTGATTTGATTCGTGATTCAACAATTGAAGCTCGAGCACCAGTTATGAGTGAACGTCGAACAGTAATTATTGATACAGAATTTGATTATGAACAAAAAACCATTTATTTTTATGATCAATTAAGTCGAATGATTTATTCATCACAAATGGATGGCGAAAGTATGTTTTAAATATAATGTACATATAACCACAATGTATCTTATTTAAAGGACCAAAACCAGTTACAACATCAAAAATATTTCCACTCATTACGGCATTAGCATTCAATTGGTATTCAAAATTGTTGTACATGGCATCAAATGACGAAAGAAAGATAACTGTTGTTCGAATTAATTCAAGAGATTTACCACAACGAGTTATTGCTAATGATACTGAGGGTATTCATGGAATTGCACTTGATCCATCAGAAGGGTAAAGAATTTTGTTTCACTAATAAAAACTTTATTTTTGAAATTATTTAATGCAATGAATAATTTTATAAACTGATGTAAATGGACAATTATAGATAAGATTTATTTTAAATCATTAATTAAACTCATTTTTATTTTTATTTTTACTTCAATGAATTCTTTTCTATAACTTTAGCCTTGTATTTTACACGGTAATTAAACGTCCAGCTAAAATTTATCGAATGTTATCTGATGGTTCAAATCGTTATGCCATCGTTTCAAGAGAACTTGGTACTCCATATCATATTACATGCGATTATTTAACAAAACGACTTTATTGGACAGATGGTGTTTTATCACGTATTCAATACAGTGATTATAGTGGAAGAAATGTTCAAACATTAAAAGGAAAATCTATCTCACATCCATTTGGTATAGCTATATATGAATGTAAGTATTAAGATAATAGAATATTTTAATTCTTAACATTGTTCATATTTTCTTTTCTTTTTTCTATTTTAAGCACGTTTATATTTTTCTGATGCTATTTTACAAACTGTCTATGAGAGTAGTAAAACATATAGTGGTTATGCATCGCCTATACGTTCAAATATACCATCAATATCAACAATAAGAATTTATTCTCAATCAGCGCAACCTTTAAATAGTAAGTTTGTTTGTTTTTTTTTCTAAAATTTTCCATTTTAAAGACTTATATTTGGAATAATAATGTACATTTTGAATTTATATTAACAATTTCTGAAGATAATTTACTAGGTAAATGTTGACAATTTTTTTTTAATATTTAGTTACTCATCCATGTCGACAAAATAATGGAGAATGTGCTGATTTTTGTTTTCCCATTGTGGAACGTGGACGACTTACACGAGTGTGTGGATGTCGTTATGGAAAAAAAATTGATCCAGCAGCGAATAGTGATTGTATTGATAATTCAGCAATTGAACCAACAATAACGAATTGTGAAGGAAAATTTCGTTGTAATAATGGACGTTGTATACCAATAAACTGTAAGCTACTGAAAAAAACATATTATTCTTAAAAATAATATATTGTTTATATTTTCAGATAAATGCGATGGAGATGATGATTGTTATGATGGATCAGATGAACAAGGTTGTCCAGGTAGAATAAATAGGAATTAACGTTAAAGTTTAACGTTACGATAAAAAAATGGTTGTTACTTTTAGCTGGTACATCGACATGTAAAACTGATCAATTTCGATGTCAAAGTACAGGCGTTTGTATATCAAAACAATTGAGATGTGATGGTTACAGGTAATATTGACGATAAAACAATAATTTGATCAATATCAATAGTAATCATTATTATTTAGACATTGTAATGATGGCTCAGACGAATTTAATTGCAGTGAAACGTGTAGTGAAACTCAATTTCGTTGTGGAACAGGAAAATGTATTCCGAAGTCTTGGCTTTGTGGTAAATGAATGTCGGAAAAACATAAATGTTACAAATTGTAATAAATTTTATTTTTTTTCTCTTCTAGACACAGAAAATGATTGTGGAGATTCATCGGATGAACAAAATTGCGGTTTGTATTTGATATTAATTAATATCATTTGATATCTCTTAGACTATAGTTGCTCATTCATTCACAGAACGTAGCTGTGATCCAATAACACAATTTACGTGTCCGCATTCACCAGGAAAATGTATACCCATTTCGTGGAAATGTGATGGACAAAACGATTGTGGAGACAATGCAGACGGTAATTAAAAGTCAAATTTTTTAAATAGTAATTGCAAAATAATTCTCTCTGTTTTTTTTAGAAACAAATTGTCCTCCTCTAGCTTGTGGTCTTGGTCAATTTTTATGTGCACGTGATCAACGTTGTATAAATGCCTCATTGAGATGCGATGGTTAGTTTTAACGTTTAGACAATATTTACTTATACAATTATTTGGTGAATATAATTTTGTTTTTAGGAATATATGATTGTCAAAGTATGGAAGACGAACAAAATTGTGCAGGAATTGTTCCTACGTACTGTCGAGCTGATCAATTTCGTTGCGGTTCAACTTGTATTCCAATGGCATGGCGATGTGATGGTCATCGAGATTGTGCTGATGGAAGCGATGAACCATCAACATGTGGTACGAATGAAAGATCTTGTATTAATAGATGATGAAGAAAAATATTTATTTAATCATTAAGGTGCAAGAAATTGTAGTTCAGATGAATTTCGATGCCAAACAAGTGGTACATGTATTCCAAAAATCTGGGTTTGTGATAGTGACGGTGAGTGTTTAGTTTAATTGATTATTTATGATTAAAATAAATTCTTATTTGTTTTAAGATGATTGTAATGACGGTAGTGACGAAAGCGAGGCAGCTGGTTGTGGTTAGTGTTCCAGTTCTTGTCGATTGAGATGAATTGTTGAAAGTTCTTTTTATTAAACTTTTTTCTGTTTTAAAGGAACACAACCATTTCGTTGTCCAGTCAATCAAACTGTATGTCCAGGTACAACAATTCATGCATGTGTAAATAATAGTCAGTTATGCGATGGAAAACCAGATTGTCCAGGTGGCGGTGATGAATCTCCGCTGTGTAATAATGATCAATGTTCAATTGATAATGGAGGATGTTCTCATATTTGTGTACCATCACCATTTGGCGTTCTATGTTTATGTCAACCAGGATTTCGTGTACGAAATACCACAAACTATAAAAAATGTGAAGGTAGGCAACAAATCTTAAGATCTTGAACAACATTATATTTTTGTATTTTTCGACTCAACTCTTAGTTGACAAAAAGTCAAGTTTTCTTATGTCAATTTCACTGGAAAAGTGTTCCATTGTGTTATTTTATCTTTTGCAACTTCTTAACTAAAAAAAATTGTATCAGCGTTTCTAATAGTTAATTGATCAAGCGAGAAAAAAATGGGTTTGCATCAGAGACCATCGCAGGATAGGGCTGCCCTATTGTCCTGTTCTGTCCTGCCGGGCAGGGCGATATATTTTTTTGCCCTGCCCTGTTGCAAGATAGAGCAACAAAAAATTCCTTGATTTGCCCTGCGAGAAATTGATTTGTGAGATTTTCAAGCTTCTCTTTAAGTAAAATTTTGAGATTAAACAACAAAGACAACAGCGGTCGCTCAATTCTGTTTTCTTTCTTACAGCGATTAGTTTCTTGAAGATAAAGTCTTCTAGATTAACGAGAAAAACTTTGTTTTTCACTGCAGGGTATCCTGCCGGACAGGGCAGGACAGGCCCAAAAAATATTTTATGAGTAATTTTCTGACAGAGCAGGGCGAAAATAGTTGTCCTACGATGGTCTCTGATTTGCACTTTGAAAATTTGATTTTTCTTCACATATTAACAACGCTGAGTGTACTTGCTCATTTTCTATTATGTGGAGTAAAAAACTAATATACATCTTATAGTAAAAAATATTTTTTCTGTATAACGATGATCAAACGATGTGGTACAGTCCATATTTCTGTTGATAACTATCATAAAAAAGAAATTGCCGTGACCCGGGATCGAACCAGGGACCTTTAGATCTTCAGTCTAACGCTCTCCCAACTGAGCTATCCCGGCAATATGACTTCGAACCCATAATTGTTTTAATTGTACACTTAAAACGTTCTTTGTCATATTAGATATTGATGAATGTGCTGAAGATTACAATACATGTAGTCAACATTGTCTAAATTTGAATGGTTCATTTATTTGTGGATGTGATACAGGTTTTACATTAGAAGTTGATGCAAGAACATGTAAAATTATTGGTAAATATTTCTAGGATTAATATAAACTCGTCTAAGTATTATAATGTAATTTTAGATCAAGCTGGAGTGGGTCTATTAATTACACGTGGTTCTCAAATATCTCGTCTATCTCCGACAAATCAACGCGTATCTGTACTTAATTTGGCGCCTAATCTTCGATATATAACAGCATTAGATGTTGACAATCGAACAGATACATATTTTTGGTCAGATATAGTAACAAATACATTGTACAGTAGATCAACAAAAGCAACAAATTATTCAAGAGTAAAATTATTTTCCTATAACACTGATTAAAAATAAAAAGAAGCTAATATTGATATATTTTTAGGTAATCACAAGTGGTAATAGTTATATAGCCGGTATTGCTTATGATTGGATAGGACGTAACATTTATTGGACAGATTATATGCTTGAACATGTTGAAGTTGCATCTGTCGATGGAAAATATCGAAAAATATTATTTCATGAAAATTTAACAAATCCATGGGCTATTGCGGTTGATCCAAGAGCGAGGTAACACATCTGTTCTTTTTGAAAATAATATACAGTGTTATGTATGTTATTTGTACATGTCTATAAATGATGGTTCAAAAATAAGCATAATTTTGTTCTAAATAGAATAAGCTCGTTATCCGTTTTAATCTTATCTGATAGGACGATATATTAAATTAAATTGTACATTTCAATATTTTTCGCATATCACCGATAGAAAAATAAAGTAGTTCGTATTCATCTCACTCGATCACATAGAAGATGTTCTATTTTTGGCGTGGAGTATTATCAAAAAGTTTTTAGGAAAAATTTTTGAACAAAATGAAAAAAAAATGTTTTCTTAGCAAAATAATGTTAGTTTCAAAACTTTGCCAAACTAAACTTTTGGCAGTATCCCTCGTCAAAAATAGAATATTTTCTAGATTATCGAGTGTGCTGAATAGGAAAAAGAATTTTTTCGTGACTCCAGAATGAACTTTATTTTTTTCTTCACGTTGATATGTATTATTGATTTCTATTTAGTGCACGTTTTCTATTTCTAACTGATTGGGGTAAACGTCCTAGAATTGAACGTTGTAGTATGGATGGTCAAAATCGTGTTAGTATCATTAATGACACAATTCAAATGCCATTGGGTTTAACATTAGATATAGCACGTGAAGAAGTCTATTTTACCGATCGCCATTTGAATTATATTGAAGTATGCGATTATAACGGATTACATCGTCGAAAAATATTATCAAATGATCATTTTCTACATGCACCAACATCCATTAGTTTATTTGAAAATTATTTATACTGGTTTGACTCCAATTCACATGAACTACGACGTTTAAATCGATTTGAAAAAACTATGAAATTAAAAAATCAATCGAGAATAGCGTCCATTTACAATATGAATGCTATGAAAATTTCACATAGGGTTTATCAACCACAAGGTAAACGTTTAAAACCTTCACTGTTGTATGGTTGAAAAAAGTCTTTTCTTTTTACTTTTTTTTAAAGAAGAAAATCCTTGTCAACGTTCCCAGTGCAATCAATTGTGTTTACTTTCGTCTGTTGCCTCAGCTGGCTATACATGTGCTTGTCAGACGGGCTATCTACTTAGTAATGATCGTTTAACCTGTATGAAAGGTTTGTATGAGACTATATACATTGAAACTGTTGAACAAAATTATGTGGTTTTTTTTACGTTTATTAGATTATAATCCATTTTTAATTTATATGCGACGTCATACAATCGGCGGTATAACTATTCGTCATGATAAAAAGTATATAGATGAAAATTCAAATTATGACGATGTTTGGGAGAGACTAGTGACCATAACAGATATAAATAATGGATATGAATTTGCTTATGATGAAGCTAATGAAACAATTTATTGGGCAGAAGTCAATCGATTTTTACCGGATGGAACACCAACGGTAAGACATTTATATTCTTCACTTTTCAAAATAGAATATTCTATAGGCTCTTGTCTTTAGTTTCAAATACATCAAATTAATTTTGATGGCACAAATCGAACAGTATTCTATGGTGATGACGAAATATTAGTTGGAATGGAAGCGGGAACAATGCAATTTGATTCAGTGGGACGGTAGGCAGATAAACATGCGCAAAGTGTTAGCTTCTGTGATATGTACAATACCAGATGAATCCAGAGATGGACGAAGTACTCGTACTCGTACTTTTTTAACGAGTATTTCGAAAAGTACTCGAGTACCCAGCGTTGCAAATACTGGGAGGGTGTAGAATGATGCGCATCCCTCGAATAATTGAATTTTTTTTTGTTGTGAATGAAAATCAACCCTTTCACAATACATCTGGAAACAGGGCATAGCACAACACCATCAGTTCTCTGAAGCCTGTTTCTAACATTTCATGATATTATGAGCGGAAAATATTTTTCACCTTTCGCACTACATTGGACGACTGTTTTAATAGATTTCGCACTACCTCGGAGAGACATTGGATTTTACACCCCCTTAATATTTGTCTCTTATTTGTGGCCTTGCAAGTACGTTCCAAAAATCTGGTGACCATTTCTTTTGCTATTTACCTATCAAAAAATCGATTTTTTTCGGAATCACCGGCTTCTTTTAAAAAAATTTATACTTGAGTACTTTTCAGAAAATTCTCGTACTCCTAACTTGTATTCAGAATTCCGTGTACTCGTCACATCTCTGGATGAATCAGAAATAATTGGCCACTATTGTACACAATTCTTCATCTACTACTAAAAATTCGATTCTAAGTTTCGAAAGACTGAGAATTTAATCATCTACAAATCAGTGTATTCGATTACCGGTCAAATCAAAATTACAGGGATGTTAGAAAGCGAAAAGTCCTGGTTTTGGAAACTGCTCCAGGAGAAGTTGAATTTCTTTATCTGTGTTATTTTACATTAGTGGTCAACTTTTACTAACTCATTTTACAATCAAAAGATGCAGAATTTTATGCTGTTTGTAACATTACATTTCAAACAGCAACATTATATGCTGCACTCAAAGACCCTAAGTTATGGCTTTTCTTTCAAGCACTATTCATAATGCAAGAGTTAGAATGTATTACCATAAACAAATTCGCGATTATTCGAAATCTTATCATCCTTTGATGCAGAATTTTATGGAGAATTCTTTCATATTGTTTTGTTTTATCAAATAAAACTGTTAAAAAAGAATAGAACAAAATAAATCGCCTTTTGCAGGAAACAGTTTCTAAAACGCGGACTTTTCATATTCTGGCGCCATACCTGTAATTTTGATTTGACTGGCAACCAATTATGCTAATTTGTAGATGGTTAAATTATCAATCGTTCGAAACTAAGAACCGAATTTTTAGTAGTAGATGAAAAACTGTAAAAAAATGTTTCGTTATTTCTGGTCGCCCGTCGAGTAACAAATATGTATGAAGTTCTCTTTCTCTGTTTTGTTTATATGATTTAGACAGCATATTTTCTTGTTTTTAGTAATTTATTCATCTCAAATATCCATGATAGCCGAATAGATGCTATTAGTCTTGTTGGTCAATATCATACAGTTATATTTAGTGATCATGAACATGAAACAGGAATATCTCGTCCGATAGCTCTAGATTTAGATGCATCAAATGGGTAAGTGTAGTGTTTGCTTGACTGTTAATGATACACTTTAATCTTTGCTCATTTTAGTTATGTCTACTGGATTGATCTTGGTGGTGGACCAGTACCAATGAAAATTGCTCGTGTTCGATTTGATGGACAGCATTCAGAAGTCCTTGTGACTGAAAATTTAAATAAGCCAAATTATATTGTTTACAATCATGATTTACATTACGTATTCTGGAGTGATATTGGGACAGAACAGGTACAAGAGTGACAGGACACTACAACACATACTGTTTGTCTAATTCTCTGTAACGCTAGATGCGACAATGGTATGAATTCAAGTCTAAAAAAACTGTTGGAATCTAAAGTCCTATGCATAAATTCAAGTCACTATATATAGCGCTATATGTCTGATATAGTGGGATAATTTTCCCAGACCAAACTTTTCGAGAGCAATCGATTGATCGTCCCCAGTAAATATAACATAATGTACATTAAGTGTTAAGAATCATTTAAGATAGATTAGAGCGTTTCAGTTATAATTGCCTAAAAAGAAAATACAGTTGTTTAAGATTTGCTCTAAAAAGCTGATTCTCTATCTAATTTTCAGATGAGAGTTTACAACTGATTAAAACATTTTCTCTTGTAGATTGCCTACCATTCTATGGATACTGGTGAAACAAAAGTGTTGCATATCGATGTTCGTCATCCCCGTGGATTTGATTTACTAACACATTTTCCTCCTACTGAAATGGATTATTTACAAAATCAATATGCATTATATTATGTTGACGCCGAATATGAAGGTGTCTATGAAGTGTTACTCGATCACGAATTGAATACTATCCAAAATACAATACCGTTGCGAACAAATCAAGAAGATGCTCTACAAGTGCGTGTTTATCCAAGATTTGACGGTAAATATTATAAAAAGATAATTGGAAACATTTATATCTAATAACCAATTTTTTGCTTTAATTTTGTTCTAGTTTTAAATTCTCATTGTTACTATGGATCATATTGTGAACAAATATGTTTTCAAATCGATGCCATCACTAATATGCATCCAACATGTGCATGCGGAATCGGTTTCCAATTAAACAGTGATGGTCGAACATGTTCATCTTACACTAATTATTTTATTTACAGTACGCATTCAATGTTACGCGCATTTAATCATCGTTCAACAAATGATACATCAACAAGAGAAGATGCCATGCCATTAATTAGTGGAAATGATATGGAAATGCTTGGAGTGAGATATGCAAAACAAGAATTGTATTGGATAAATGCTAATCGTAGAATAAGACGAGCAATACGGACAAATAATAGAACAGGGTGGAATATCACCGATTATCTACAAATTGGAGCGTCAAGAAGTGCTGTATTGGGTTTAGCTATTGATTGGATTGCTGGTAAGAACATGTAAAATTGTTAAGTTGTATTCTAAGCAATACTATTGTACTTCTACAGAAATACAAAAGTCAAAATCACCAGACTCTACGAGAAAAACGCGAAAATTAATAAAACCTTTCATAAATCGACTGCAGTTCGATGAAAAAACATCATAGATAGCTGCGAGGCATCTTATTTCGCTCAGAATTCTTTACTCTAGCAGGCTATATAATTTGCATTTTTTTAATCGGAAACCAAAAACTTGGTTTTCTAGGGTTCAGGTTTTCCAGAAACCCTATCAAACTTTTTTATAAAATTTCAATATGTACCTCATCTGAAAAATCTTTGAACTATTCAAATCAGTATTCAGATTTGTTTTAGCTATTACTCGGAAAGAGAAAAGTCAAAAACAAATGGAGGCTTATAATTGTGGAGCACTTTATACACACTAATTAACGTCAATGTTGAAAAATCATGTTCATAATGAATTTTTTTCTCTTTTTCAGGTAATATGTATTTTTCGTATATTACAAATTCATACGGACATTTGGAAGTAAATAGATTAGATACTGATCATCGTTTGGTGTTGCGAAAAGGTACAAATGAAACAATTTATTCCATAGCTGTCAATCCAAAAAAAAGGTATAAAGCATACTTAGTCAAAATATGACACTGCAATGATGTATTTTTAGATATTTATATTGGACTGATCGTGGACCTCATGTAAGAATAAGTCGTTCATTTTTAAATGGTCAAAACGTTACATATTTGATTACAACTCAAATAATTCGTCCTGAAACGTTGACAATTGATTATGCAACTGATGATGTATACTGGGCTGATTCAATTCGAGATGTTGTCGAAGTACGTCTAGTTGGCTAATATATATTGATTATACTTTCTTATGTATTTTTAATTTAAAATTATACACCATATGTAGGAAACATCCTTAATACACATCTATTGTCTTTTCATTTAGGTTATGTCGTGGAATGGTGCTAATCGTCGTACAGTTGTTCGTAATATGCCGAAAGTGATTAGTTTATTGGTTTGGAATAATGATTTGTATGTTATGGATAAAGCATTTTCATCTGTAAGTTAACTGATCAAATTTGTTTTTGTTTGTTATTTTCCTTGTTCATTTAGATAATGAAAGTAAACAAAACTGTGAGTAATATGACTCAACGATTAGAAACTGTTTTATCGTTAAAATCGTACGATATTGGTGGAATGGTATTATTTGATGATCAACCTGTATTTGAATCACCATGTCAAACAGGTCGACAACAATTTTGTGAAGATTTGTGTTTTGCTCTACCTGATTCAAGTCTACCGGAATGTGCATGTGCTTATGGAACATTGAATATGGATAGACGAACTTGTATAGGTGAGAATGTGTAATTTCTCTTTCTCTCTCTGGAATCTATTTCGTAATTATTATCGTTTATAGCACCAAAGGAATATTTGATTGTTGCCATGGAAAAAGAAATTCGATCAATGTCAATGCAACCGCATGGTTCATCTGTTAGTGCTCCTTGGCGAAGTATAACGAATTTGAGTTTAGCTGTTGGAATTGATTTTGATTATCGAGATAAACAAATATTTTACACGTACGAATTTACGCTAAAAAAATTTGAAGATTCTTTTATTAATTTCATTGTTTTATAGAGATTTCGGCTTACAGGATATATTCTGGTTTAATATGGACGATCCGAATCCAAACACTCGAAAGCTGATGCAAACAAATGCCACCGGTAAATAGCACAAAGTCGAATCAGCTAAGAACGGATCAATTTTTTTACAAGTGTTGTACCTATTGATCATACTAAGATTTCCTATTTCATTTCAGATTTCTATCTTAGTTTCTCATTTTCAACAAAAATTCTAATACGTGAAGAAATAACATATGTATTTTCTCTTTAGGTCGTTCGATACCAGTTGGTATCTCTTATGATTGGGTATCTGATCGTTTGTATTGGACGGATGAAACCTACAGTCGAATAATATCATCAAAATTAAATGGTTCAGAAAGATTAATTATTGCAGCTAGTTCAAAACCAAGGGCGATCGTTGTTCATCCATGTAAAGGGTAAATCGAAACCCATGACATACATCTAAATGGAAGAAATTCATTATTAATTTATTTTGTAGATATTTATTTTGGAGTGATGTTGGAAATTATCCTTCAATAAGACGATCGTCGTTGACTGGACGACAACAAACATATTTGATAACAACGAACGTTCGATGGCCAAATGGGTTAACAATTGATTTTGATGATGATAGAATTTATTGGGCCGATGCTTATTTGTATGTATGAAATATTGTTTGATATAAATTTTTTGAAAATTATTAATTTTTTAGAGATCGCATTGAACGAGCTGGTTTTGATGGTTTAAATCGAGAGTTACTAACATCAGCTGTTCATCCATTTGCCATTGTCGTACATGATCATTTCATTTATTGGACTGATTGGGCTTTAGGTTAGCTGCAAGAACATGTTCATAAATAAGATAAACATGTTTATTACTTATTATGTAGGCGGTGTATATCGTGCTGAAAAGTATACGGGTGCTAATGTTGTTGAAATGCAGAATGGTTTTCCTTATCGTCCAATGGATATTCACGTTGTTACTGATCAAAGACAAAAATGTTCATTTAATCCATGTAATATTAGTAACGGTGGTTGTAGTCACATTTGTAAACCAGCACCAAATAATCAAATTGAATGTGCATGTCCATCGGGACAAAATTATAAATTAGCAAATGACAGAAAAATGTGTGTTGGTAAGTTATAAATAAATAAATGATCCTTGGAATAATTAATTAATAGTTCATTCGTACTGACTAGTTCAAAATGCGAACTGTACATCGGTTAAATTTACGTGTCGAAATGGTCAGTGTATTGATCGTCGTTCTGTGTGTAATGGACAAAGTGACTGTAACGATAATTCAGATGAAGATCCAAGATTTTGTGGTATTAGGAAACATGTTGAAAGAAAAATTTTGATTTTATGTACTTTGTTATTTCTAGCTGTTTATAATTGTCGTCCAACCGAATATCGTTGTCTTAATGGAGGTTGTATACCATTTTTTGAAAGATGTGACCGTAAGTAGTGTTGGTATACAGGTTTCATAAGATAGTTTCGTTTAATGATGGTCTTATTTTGAGGTAAAATCGATTGTTTGGATGGTAGTGATGAAAATAATCCATTTCAACCGTGTGTTTATCCACAATGCCCTGAAGGACAATTTACTTGTGCCAATTTTCGATGTATTGATAATTTTAAGGTTTGTAATGGTAAGTAAAATATATTAAAATTTTTATTGACTAATTTTAAAAAGATCATTTTTAAATGTAACTAAAGGTCGCGATGATTGTAATGATGGTAATGCAACAGATGAAATTGGTTGTCCGTCACGAGTATGTAATGGTACAAATAGTATGAAATGTCCGAACAATAATATATGCATACTACGAAGCTATCTATGCGGTATGTGGTTAATTTTATTTCATTGAATGTTAGTATTAAATACATTTATAATCATTAAAGATGGTGACAATGATTGTGGAGATAATAGCGATGAAAGTCCAATATTCTGTCAAAGTGTTCCTTGTAACACGAGTAAGCGATATAATGAGATAATATCTTGAATAAATAACTGGATTAACTAATTATAATTTTATTTTGAATTGTAGCTGAATTTCGTTGTTCTAATGGTCGTTGTATTCCATATTCATGGGTATGTGATAATCGTCGAGATTGTGTGAATGGTGAAGATGAATCATCTGATTGTCGTATGTCGAATCGAACATGTCCAGCTGGCCTATGGAAATGTGACAATGGCAGATGCATTAGTCCAGATTTAAGATGTAATGGATACGATGATTGCCGAGATGGTAGTGACGAAGATGAAAGACATAACTGCGGTATGTATAGAGTCTATTAATATATTCTATTAAAACCAAATTATATATATTTTTTTTATAGCTGAAATGCCGTGTCGTGCAAATCAATTTCGTTGTCCAACGGGTTTAAAAAATAATCCCCGTTTGCATTGTCTTGATCGAACAGCCGTATGCAATGGTGTTGCAAATTGTATGAGAGGAGAAGATGAAGCTAATTGTACAAGAAGAAATTGCTCGACATATCAGTATGCTATTTATTACTCTCTCATTAGTGCTTAATTCATCTCATCTTCTATTAAAGATTTCAATGTGCCAATGGATTATGCATTCCGAGAAGTTATGTTTGTGGTATGAAATTCATCAGCTGTCAGATATATTGTGTTAAATAGTATTTTCTCTTCTTTAGATCATGATAACGATTGTGGTAAGACCAGAAATATGTTCAATGATAAATTTCTTTGATATTCTCTAATAATTTGTTTAGGTGATGGATCTGATGAGCCAGCATCCTGCGGTATGAAATATTGATTTCTGTGGTATGAGCTCTCTAAGCTTTTTTTTAATTTTTTACCAGATTCGCAATACCGTAATTGTTCGAATACAGAATACCGATGTGAAAATGGTCGTTGTGTATCTAAAACGGTCATTTGTAATGGTAAGACTTTTTCAAAAATGTCTGTTTAGAAAATTACTGTTCTATTTTTAAAGGACGTAATGATTGTCATGATAATTCGGATGAAAAACCATTATTGTGTCAAGCAGAACAATGTCCACCTGGGCAATTTCAATGTAGAAATAAACAGTGTATACCGTATGAAGTTGTCTGTAATGGTGTTAGAAATTGTACGGATGGAAGTGATGAAACACCGAGTTGCGGTTTGTACATAAGATGAAAGCTATTCTTCTTAATCCTATAAAGAAAAATATTTGTTTTTAGGTGTGAATGAATGTGCAAGTCCAATATTGAGTGGTTGCGAACATTTTTGTGAAAATACATTAACATCATACAAATGCACATGTAGACAAGGATATAAATTAGCGCCAAATCAAAAAAATTGTTGGGGTAGGTTCTAAAAATGCAATTTTCAGTCTTGAGTAGAGGAATTAATCAGAAGACACTTCAGCATCATTATTTCAGCGCAAAAATTTGTATGGTAAAAAAACAACATTTTTTCATTATCAGCAAATAGTATATGCGCTTAACAGAAATGCTGAATATGATCCCAATAATGAAGGAAGGTTTATTCTGTTGTAAAACTTTCATTTGGAAATTAGACATTTTTGATTTGCTCAGATTCCGTGCAATTTTCAATTATACTACTATTTCTTGCGCTAAGGATAAAAGATTTCCGGTACACATAGTGAAAATTGCACAGAATCTGAGCGAATCAAAAATGTCTAATTTCCAAATGAAAGTTTTACAACAGAATAAACCTTCGATGTGCACTACTAAAAAAATAAAATTACTGCTGAAAAACTCTACCAGAGAACGAAAATACGACACTTTTCTCAAAGTTTTAAAATAGGTTAGATAGTGAACTTCCTGAATTGTGTGCAGATTTTAAAAACCAGCCAAATGTCATTATTGGGATCATATTCAACATTTCTGTTAAGCGCATAAACCACTATGAGTTACAGCAGTCTATCGAGTGTAAAGTTCAATAGAATGGATTAGAACATGAACCTCTTTACATTAGACTTCTATAAAATTTCTCTCAAAATAATATATTGTCTATTTTTTCAGACATTAATGAGTGCGTTGAAACACCAGGTGTTTGTCAACAGGCATGTGAGAATACACCAGGTATCGATTCAGAGTCAAAGTTATTTTTATAGTTTTTTGTTGACACGCTTTGTACTTCTTTAAGGTTCTTATATTTGTAAATGTATGCCTGGTTACGAGAAAGGCAGAGATGGACGAATGTGTTTTAGAATGAACAGTAAGTTATCCAATTATTGAATGAGTGATAAAGGTTAAAAGTATCTCTTGTTTTTTCTTAGGAACTGTAAGCCCATCAGTATTTTATACGAATAAATATTATGTGCGTGCATTTGATTTGGATGAACAATATGAAATAACAATTGCTAGACAATTTCTTGAATTATCAAGCATAGCTTATGATTGGAAAGATCGTAAATTATACGTTGGTGATTCAATTGGAAATAAAATATATCGAATGAATTTGAATGGAACAAATTCTGAAGTTATTGTAGAACAAAATATTCGAACATTACGATCATTAACTGTAGACTGGATTGGAAGGTAAGGGTAGCATGACTATTGTAGCAGGATTTTTCTCATCATTTGTGATGTAGTCAACACAGTGGAACCTTTTATCGTGTTTTCTGATTAGCCTTCCAAAATCACTTTCTGATAGTGTTTTCGCTAAACAGAGATTGCTTCCATCAAAATTTGTCCGTTTGGACTGAAACTTTTACTATAGTTATTACACTAAGTCTAGGATGGGTGTCTTTTCATTCGAATTTCAATGTTTTCTCATTTAGAACTGATATTTCTCTTTTTTCGGAGGCGAGAAAGTGAAGATCATAAATTGCATATTTCTGTGAGAAACTAGACTGGAAATTAGAGTTCTAAAACGCTTTATTCTGAAGCGAAATATTTTTTCTACCAGACTGTAGTTAAATAACTTATAAAAGCCAGAAAAATGGAAAAAAATTATTTTGTTCAGCTTAAGGATGAAAATCTTAAACGATATTCACATATGGAGAAATTTTATCAACATTTCACCATGTCAGGGTCATGCACTTGCAATATCAAACGCAAATTTCCTATAATTTCACTAGCGATCACGCGTACAAAACAAGCGTAGGAAGGTATAAAATTCATGTGTGTTCACTATACACAGTTCACAACTTTCATTAGTGATTCAACGAGAAAAATGGCACACAAAAATTTTCGTAAGCATTTTGTGAATGATCATAAGTGAAAAACTTTTCCTCACACGTAACCACAAGGAGAAATTTTTTCTCGCATGTGTCTGCACATCATTTCATAAAAGTCACGTGTGACCACATTTCGTTTCATAATAGTGACGACTGTACATGCTGTATTCTCCAGCATTACTTAAGAACGGGTTCAGACTTAAGAAAGAACGGTGGAAAATGTGTCGTGCAATCTCTAAGACTAGTATCAGTTTTAAAGTTTGCGCTTCATCTGAAAAACTTTTATCGAAAGGGTTCGATCCGAACTGATCTTGAATCCATACGGAGCTCTGTTGTTTACTAAGATTTCTTAACAAGCACGAACTGTCATTTTATAGAAAACATTTTAAAGTATATTCTGACAATATTAGCTCAAAGCTGAATTTTCTTCCGAAAATGAGAAATAGTCCCCTTTATATCAGAATGATCAAATGATTGATACATATTTTTGTTGTTCTTCAGAAAATTGTATATTCTAACGAGTACACCAGAAATTCGTGTTACAGAATTGAATGGTAGTAATAGCAAACGTTTATTAGATTATCGTTATTTATCTCAACCAAATTATATGACGTTGGATTCTCTTGTTGGCTACTTGTTTTACAGTGATTGGGGTCAACCACATATTGGACGTATTAATTTAGATGGAACAAATTTTGTTAAAATTATTTCGACAGATACAGCTGGACCATTGGGTATTACATTAGACTTAGTTATGAAACGATTATTTTGGATTGATAGACGACTACAACGATTAGAGTAAGAGCGTAACATTTTTTTTATTGAAAACGTACCGATCAGTCAGTCCGTTATCATTTGCCCGTTCGGACAAGATCTGATCTCGCGAATCAGTCGTCTAATGGGTGGGAAGTGTTCACTCTATTCCTTGTGCACTGATTATTTACCGTATGTGTTCAATCTTCTTTCTCTTTTATAACAGAGACGAATAGCAAACATAGTTCAATTTTGTGCAATTTATCTTGCCCGATTTGGTAATATTTCTCGTTCAGGCCAGATTAATATTGCCCGTTCGGGTAAGGTATCTTGCTCGATCAGTCACTCTTTTATCCTTGCCTAATTGGGAAATATTGCTCGAACGGGCAGGTTTGTCCGATCAGGCAAGGTAATCCTGAGGCAGATATAGTTGATCAGTTTTCTGACCGTACAAGAAAGCATCGTATCATCCAAGGAAAACTCTATTTGATGCAGTTTTTGCCACTCTATCACTTGGAATAAGTGTCTACATGCGCTATAGCTTTGATTAATGCGTTGAAAGAAAAAAGTGTGGAAATCTTGCCAAAACGGGTACGATACTCCTTGCTCGATCGGACCATATTTTGTGTTCGGGCAATACTTGCCGAAATGGGTAATCTTGCCCATTCGGGCCAGAAAGCGTGATAGCGGACTGCCAGTATGCAGAACTCTTATTCATTTTGCTGGCTAACAAAAGTATTGGATAATAAATTTAAATTGATTTTCGCTTATGTTTAGATACTCTGATTATGATGGTAAAAATCGTCAAATATCGTTCAGTGGTCCTTATTATGTTCCATATTCACTAAGTCTTGGTTTCATTGATGGTTTGGCTATTTGGTCGGATTTTACCAATCATAGTATAATTATAGCTGATGCTCTAAATGGTTCAAATAAAAATGTTATAATACCAGATACAATTAATGAGGTTGTATCATTAGTTGTTGTACATCCGTCAATTCAACCACAAGGTAATATATAAACGTACAATAAACATGCGCAGAGGAATTTAATTATCAATCTTTTATAGATCTTATTTTGTAATTTGTTATTTACGGTAATATTGTCCGTGGTTATGGTTGTTGTTTTTTGTGCTCGCTAATACTACTCTTTGTTTTAATCTAACTCTGAATCACCAGTATGCACGTTTTCTCTCAATTAGTGTGTTATTATTATTTGTTAGTGTTGAATATTTATAAATATAGCTGTTCGTTTTCCTTATTTAGCTGTAAATCCGTGTGGTTTAAATAATGGTGGTTGTTCTCATTTATGTTTATTAACGGTTAATCAATCATACACATGTGCATGTCCTGAAGATTTTTCATTTTTAACATCAAATGGTAATAATCGTGTGTGTACATCAAATTGTTCATGTAATCAACATCGATGTGGTCCACCAAATGAACGATGTATACCGTGGACATTGAAATGTGATGGTAGACAAGATTGTGAAGATAATTCAGATGAACCAACAACATGTCCACAAAGAACATGTCCTTTTGGACAATTTCAATGTGATAATAGAAATTGTACATATTTATCCTATGTCTGCGATGGTATTTGACTCTTTTTATCAATTATAATACTATTACATAATAACATAATGTATCTATTTTTAGGATATAACGATTGTAGAGATAATTCTGGTAAAGAATTTGAAAATGTTATCCTTTTTTGTGTTATAAATTATTATCTTTCTTATATTTTAGATGAACAAAATTGTGAATGTAGATGTATGCCTGGAACGTTTAAATGTACTTCAGGACCATGCATCTCAATGGTTAGTAGATATATTTTTGTTGAATAGCTATTAAATAACAGATTTTTTTCAACATTATTTATTGTTTCTAAATTAAAAATAGAAAATACTATTTCTATATTTTTCAGCGTTATCGTTGCGATGGAAGTCGTCAGTGTCAAGATGGATCAGATGAAGTTGATTGTCCAAATCAGACATGTGCACATCATCAATTTACATGTACAAATGGACAATGTATTCCAGCTTCTTATGAATGTGTAAGAATATTTTGAAAACTAAGAGATAAACGTGTATGATAATTATCTCTAATATCTTTCAATTATACAGGATTTAGATAATGATTGTGGTGATAATAGCGATGAAAATGCTTACTTTTGTCGTACGTATAAATGACAATTAAATTTTTTAGAATTTTAGAATTAGAATTTTTTGTAAAAATATTATTAATTTATCATTTAAGGCAATCGACCATGTCGACTAGATCAAGTTCGTTGTCCAAATTCGTATAAATGCATTCCTACTGTGGCCAGATGTAATGGACGAAATGATTGTGGTGATAATAGCGATGAAAATCCAGCACAGTGTCCGGCGTGCAATGATGCTAGTCATTTTCGTTGTAATAACAGTCGCTGTATACCAAGAAGTTTTAAATGTAATCATAGAGGTTCGTATTACATATACAAATTATTATGTATGTATACAAATATTATTTTATTCGTTCGATAGATGATTGTGGTGATAGTTCAGACGAAGATCCATCTACATGTGGTAAGTCTATTATTTGTTAAACACTATCATTTTAGAATTTATGCATAAATTTTCGATTATTATTCTAGTTTATCGTCAATGTAGCGAAGGTGAATTTCGATGCCGTAACCAAAGATGTATACCGGAACGATGGTAAGTACTAAGTTTTCAATGACTTCTCACTTTTTTGTTAGCTCACACTATTAACTAACATTAACGAGTATGACATAAGTATTAAACAGATATGTCATTAGAGTATTATTGTTGAAGGGTATGTGATCATGATCTGGATTGTGGTAATGGTGATAATTCGGATGAAGCAGGAGATTGTGGTATGTTCATCTGATCACATCCATAGAAAATATTTATTTCTCTATAATTTTTATTTTTACAATTCTCAGCTTCTCGTCCATGTCCGGCTGGTTCTTGGCAATGTGCATCCGGTCATTGTGTTCGAAATTCGAGTCGTTGTGATGGTTATATACAGTGTCATGATGCATCAGATGAAATGAATTGTACAGCAAGATTTTCTAATGGGTCATTCTGTCCATCAGATAAATTTCAATGTAATAATACATTATGCGTTAATCGAAATTGGGTTTGTGTAAGTATATTTCATATTGCTAATAAAATAATAATTACTTCTATGTCATTCCTTTCCAGGACGGCGATAACGATTGTAGAGACAACAGGTAAATTTAAATGATTTTGAGTATTATGTGCATCAATAATTAATGTTTCTTTCTAGTGACGAAAGTTTGGAAATGTGCCGATTATTACCATGCAATGAAACAAATCGTTTTAGGTACATGATAAGCATAAAATTGAAAAATATAATGATTTTGTAAAAAATCTAAGTCTTACTGCTACTCGATTTTATTAGTGTCTTTGAGACTGATTATTTTATAAATTTAACGATAAAAAATAGAGCACAATTTGAAATAATAAAATTGATCAGACTCAGTTTAACAATCATTTATTTTTAGATGTTCAAACGGTCGATGTATTTACAAATGGAGAGTGTGTGATCATATAGATAATTGTGGTGATGCAAGGTAATCATCTTTCAACTGTTTAAGTTCAATTGTATGAATGATATTTACTTTATAGTGATGAAGATATTCATGGTGTGTGTAAAGCGAATGCACAAATATCCTGTAATGAATTTCGTTGTCCAAATACAAATCGTTGTATTCGTTTTACGGATTTGTGTGATGAATTTAAGTAAGTACAGTCTATCGAATAATGAGAGAGAAACATGTAAATATTTCATTACTGTTTTATTTTTCAGTGACTGTGGTGATGAATCTGATGAATTGTTATGTCATCATAATACAACTGTAACGTGTGCAAATCAAACATCTCATTGTGATCAAGTGTGTCATGATTTACCCAATGGTGGCATTGTTTGTTCATGTCATTCCGGTTATTTACTTAATAAAGATTCATTGAAATGCGAAGATATTAATGAATGTGAACATACTCATCTAAATATGTGTCCACAAATATGTATAAATAAAAAAGGTTCATTCGAATGTGAATGTGCAAGTGGTTTTTCATCAAGCGGTTTCAATAGATCCGATTGTCATCCAAACGGTATGTGTAAATGTAAAAATAAGATTTAGTGTGCAAATGTACTATCTATAGCCATATTTATCATTTTAGATCCTACAATCGACATATTAATATCTTTACCAGAAGAAATTCGTCGTTTACGACGTAATAATCAAAATGACACCAGTTATAATAGAATTGTTGAAGATCAACAAGATTCATCGTATATGACTATTGATAGTGATGATCAAATGTTATATTGGATTGACGAGGGCACTGAACAAATTTATCGTGGTCATTTGGTACCCTCAATGGTATCCGCTACACATCCTCAAAAAATAACAAACGACGTTGAACACGAAAATATACAACCAACATCAATAGCCATCGATTGGATTGGAAAAAATTTGTATGTGTCTGATTTATATCATAATTGTATTTGGTTAATGAAAACAGATGGAAGATATAAACATAAATTAATCACTGATCTTGAGCAACCTTGGGTAGTGGCTGTTAATCCTGTTCTAGGGTAAAAGAAAAGTATTAAATAGAGAATTGGACAGTATTTAGTATCTGTTACCTGTTTTAGTCTAATGTATTTTGTTAATTGGGAACGTGAACATGAAGAGAGTGACGAACATACAGTGGCAATTGAATGGGCCTATATGAATGGTGAAAATCATACAATATTAATTGATACAAATCTTGTTTTTCCAACAGATATAGTTATTGATTATTATATGAATAATCGGGTTTATTGGGTTGACGAAAAAGCAGAATCAATTGAATCAGTAGCATGGGATGGCACGGATCGAATGACAATTGCACATATCGGTAGGTTGAATAAGTTTGATATTTAAACTCTACTTGTTTATGTTAAATAAATTTTGTTTTACAACTACTTTTTTTCGTTACAGAATAGCTCAGTTTTCGGAAACTTGAGCTGATCCATATTACGTACACAGTCCTCGAGACTGCCTGTCTGTAACTTTTCTTTCTATCAACACAGTTTAGAACATATCGGTCAGACATCACCGAAATAAGTCAATGACTCGAGTTTCATAAGTGTTCACTCATCCTCTTACTAATCATCGTCCTGACGCTTAACTAGAAATTAGACAAATTTCATTGTCACAATTCTCTTCGAGTCACGCGAGTCTGCCGATGACGTATATATTCTCAACTGTGCTGCTAGAGAGAAAAGTTACAGACAGGCATTTTCAAGGACTGTGCTTGAGCTTATCTGTAATAAAAAAAGCTGTTTTAAAATAAAACTTATTTAAGTTGAATAATGTTCACACATTAACAAACAAATCAAAACGCTAAATTTTTAATATTAGATAAATGTCTAGTAAAAAAAAATGAAAAACATTATTTCAATCATAAACAGTAACTTCTTTTCGCTTCTTTCACACTGAGGTCACGAAATATCCGCTAACATATATTTGTTTCGTATATATGTTCGTAGATACATATTACCGCTCGAAAAATCATATAATTAAGGACGTAGAAATATTTATCCAAATAATTTGGGTTTAACATCATTTAATGAATTTTCATAATTTGCATGAGTAAAATGACATGCTTTTGTCATCCTCCTTCTCCAATTTGTTTCGAGAGTCAGTGTTTCAGCTTTATCTAAGAATCGAATAAATGCTCTTCTTTATGAATATGTTCAGCGACATTTGATGATTTTGCCAATTTTCGAATGCCTTTTGGATGTTCTTCTTTCCATAATGTTTATCGCAATCTTTTCATGGAAGTGATAAATTAATTTCTTAAGCGAGTCTTATGTTCTTTTTTTTTCTTCTCTACACTGTGAATTTAAAAAAAGATAAGTCCGTTATTTTTCACACATTCTACTCCACAATATCGCGGAGTTGACTGACGACTTTCGTGTTGAAAGCTTTTTGATTGTATATTTCACCTACTTTTGTACGTGATTCAGAGAAAAATACGTAAAATATTCACGGACATTTTACAAATTTCTGTCTGGTTATGGGTGTAATGTTCCTATTTCTTAGTATGCCCATTAGTATACTTCTGATAGATGATCGAAGAACTTTATTTGCAAAGTTTAAAGCTCGAACAGAATGAGTTAAAATGTGCACTGTGTTCGACTTTTTGTTTGATGACTAAATTCAAGCTCTGATTTATCGTCTAAGTTTAATCAAAGTTGCTTTATAAATCAGTTATGGTCTTTCTTGTGAATAACACGTAGTTTTTCTCCAAATCAAAGTTTTATCACTGGATCAACTGTCTGTTGTAATTAAACTAATCAAAATACTTCATATCGTCCAGCACAAGTTTTTTCTTGAAACTACTTCATTAGTGATCTACAAGGGAATTAAAAAATCTATTCACAATCTGCAAGTTCACTCTTTTATCTCTATAAATTTGAACTCCTTTGGGTGGAGAATATTTTATTTCATCACTATTGAGTAAAAAGAATCTATTAGAGAGTCTAGTGAAGATTGATTTTTATAATTTATTAAAAAATCATAAGCAGGCATGCACCGATTAGAAATCGGTATTTTATCTTTTTTCATAAGTATGAAAAGTATAGCATATTAAATATTTTTAAAAGCTGAGTTTCGTAGAGCAAGTATATCTCTACAAAATGAGTTATGAGAACAATCTTCATCTCTATCCAGCACTGGTAAAAAAAAAACTATTTACTATGAGCCCTGTTTATCGGTTTCAGTTATAACCGAAATAGTTACATCTGAATATAATATATTTTTCATGTTTTTTCAGGTATTCATGCACCTCATTCGTTGGACGTTTTTGCCAATCATTTATATTGGATAGATCGACAAAATCGTTCACTATATATGATTGATAAATTTGGACGAGGTATATCTTCATCAATTATAGAGAATTTAGAATTACCATTATTTGTTCGCATTCATCATCCGTTGAGACAGATACAAAACGGTAAATAATTTTATTTTTCATTGCAATAGAAGATTATTTTATCATGTAGCGTTATTTCAGTGAGCAATCGTTGTGCTCAAGCCAATTGTTCACATTTATGTGCATTAAAGCCAAATAATGAATATGAATGTTTATGCCCAGAAGAGACAGACTTACAAGAAAATGGATACACTTGTAATGCTCGTACGTTAAATAACTGACTTTTTTTGGATTTTATATCTGAAACATTAAATATTTTTTATTTAGCAATTATTGAACCATCTCCACCTATTTTACGATGTAATTGTTTGTATGGTAAATGTGTGTATCATGAAGATGCGCAAAGTGGACAACGATTAGCTGGTTGTTTATGTTTCCCAGGTATGTTTTCTCTGATAACATCTGATATATGCGAAGGTGGAATAGTTCATTTTTCTTTCGATGTTTGTAGGTTATTCTGGTGAATCTTGTAGAACGAATACAGCTAAAAAGAGTCTACTACATAGATTTCCCATTTATAAAATAGGTAAGTTCCATCATACAATCTTTAAAAAAGAATCCAAAAAAGTTAACGCTCAATAACTTTCAGATAACTGTAAAATTTGGTCTCGATAAGCATCGGATGCGTCAAATGTACGGCTTTCTGCTATCACATTGTAAAATATATAATTTAACTATTTCTCAAGATGTTAGAAACTATTTCAGACCATCTGTAACTGTCTTAGAATAACAACAGATTTTTACAAAATTTTTTGAGCTGTTAACTAACATATCATAGTTAGTAGAATCATGTTTACATGAGGAGTATGCTTATTTTGTTGTAATTTTTAGTTTTGGTTATCCTTGCAATGGTTGTCGTGATTGCTGCATTTGCAGTCGGTTTTATACAACTGATCAGAAAAGGACGGTACGTCTCAACTAGTTTATAAGAATTGACGACTATTAAAGTACCTCTATTATTTAGACTGCGTATGCCTCCAAGGCCCAATTTTCGAACATCAGTTAATACATTTCGAAATTTTATTACACGTTCAACGAACAGTATTAATAGTGTTAGATTTAGAAATGGACGAACCGATATTGAAGGCGGTGGAAATGCGTCAACTACGGTATGTATTTGCGTGTAAAAATATATTTTGAAATAACTATGTTTGACTTTCAGGAAACACCAAAACCGAGCGATAGTGCAGTATTTTCAAATCCAATGTATCGTTCTACAGAAACAACAGCAGCATCAACAGGAAAAAATATACCAACGACCCCCCTTCCTAGTCAGTCTCCTTCCTCTATTTCGAATGAACCAGCTAAACTTCAAGTTCAAGTGCAGCCAGTTCCAAATAAACCAACAAGAAAAGGTAGATTCTTTTCAAAAATACAGATGTCATATGAGTTCTTTTTCTAACACTTACTTTCATTCTAGCTGCCCCATCTCCATTTCAATTTGATCCCCAATCAAAAGATACAGATTATGATAAAGCTACATTAGTTGTTCGTACGAATGATGCATAATAAATTACTATTATGTTGTTGTTTTGGTTAAATATTTTTTTATCCCACATAATGATCTCGTTCCTGTTCCTCTAAAGTCTTTCCTTATTTCTTTCGGATGTGCAACGTTTGTATACTTCGTTGATTCACTGTATATATCTTTATCTTTTACTCATATATGTTGTGTGTATGTGTTCAACTAACTCTAAGTTATTGTATGCAATATGTCTCTTTCTCTTTTCTGAAGAAACGTTTTTTTTATAGTGAAAAACTTGTTATACAATGTATTTGTTATTGATCTTTCAGTTCATTTTTTTTCTAAAATAAAGTAACTCAAATTCCAGTATATCTTTGATACATTTTATATGTTTTCAGTTGTCAAAAAAACTTCCATACAACGTACCGACAAATGTTGTACCCTAAATAATCGATACTCGTTTATGATTGTCAATTAACTGATGCTTTTTGAATATGTAGTCAATCTTGATAACGGAACCATAATTGAAAAATCATTTTATCTTTAATAGGTGAGTACTTCCACGCAGCTCCATTATAAATCATATTTTCAGTTTGGTGCGTTGCGATCGGCTTCTTATGATAAAAGGCTCATATCTTATGAATGCACGATAACAGACAGCACAAAAACGTCTCATTTGAAAGAGAATCATCTATTCTATCTTGCAGATGTAGTTAAAATAAGTTTTAGAATTTTGGTTCTTCAGAGATCTTCTGGAAAACCGTTGTATGAGATCTCTGGAAGCTCTGATGTGCGGACTTTGAAATTTCTAGGGTAAGTGCTACACACTAAACTGACTTTCTGGTATAATTTTCATGAAAAAATAACCGAGACTTTTTGAGAAAATCGAGGACAAAGTCGGAGATTTTCGCTGTCCGCAGGATCTTGTAAGCCAAATACCCCGATAACGGAAAGAAATATAAAACTCAGCTCTGCGTCATTTGAACAAGCATGAGCTTGGATACATTTGAATATGGAAAAATTGGAATTTTCGTGCTTTTCAACGATTTTATAGTCATTCTAAAAATGCGTGGGAGGTCCATTTTTTGGGCATATTTCGCAAAATTTGTCGTCGGGCCTCTAATTAACTATAATTTTGACACTTATGCTATTTAGACAACTTTTTAAACTCTATCGATCGATTAACTCAGAGTTTCTTGAAAAACTCTCGTTTAAGAAAAATCGACCTGTTCCTAGAGGGTATTTTTGCTAAAACTGTCTCTTATGATTTTGTTCCGGCCACTTTCTGCACACTTTTTTTAAGAGCAAACGCAGATTCCTACACCACTTGATGCTGGCTACAAAACTGGCATAGTGGGATCTGAGCGGCTCGAAGTCGATATAAATCTGGGCGACCCAGAATGGAAACAGCCAGACGTCAAATTTTAGAATAAAATCTTGTTGTACATAATAGCTGCCATGTTTCGTTACGGAAGGGACATGCACAATAGTTCAACAAATTCTTGCACATCGGAATCGAAAAATTTCGGAAGATCATACAGTCCCACCGGTATTGAACCAACGATTCTTTTACAATTGTGTTCCGGGTTAGTTAAATATCCTTCAGTTTTATTATTCTTAAAAAATTAGTAAGAGAATTTTCACACGTTATCATTGAATCTCAATCTATTTATTTAAACTTTTTAATATCATCTGATACTATTTCTATTTTATTCCTTTATTCTTGGTAATCTAATATCACAATACCTTAGTCTTTATTTGGTCTAGTTATATATGTAACGAAGAATCATTAGTGAAATTGCACAAGATCTCTTTTTCATTCTCAATAATATTTTTATACTTATAATAAGATATTTTTAGAGAATAGAAAACTTTTCAGGTATGCTTTTTAAAAACTTTTCTTGACATTAAATGAGCAAGAATACAACAAAATAAATGATTATCCTATACAATTTGTTGATGCTATTATTTTAAATCAATTAAACAAATTGTACAAAGTAACTAATCACAGTCCAATCAAGCTACTGTTGAATAAAAATCGAAAACTACAATATTTTGAAATATATATATATCGGAAAACGAAGCTATAATTTTGCAAGACAGTTAAAAGCCGTTATTGTTAATAAAAGTGTTATGTCAGGAATACTTCCTTGCTTCCTGAAGTATTCATAACATAAGTATACGCGATCAAGACACATACATCCTTTGACGACAGCTATTCTTCTCTCTTTTCTTCATTGTATATATAATTCTGTCTTTTTTTATATTGAGAGAGTCTAATAAACATTGGCGAAGAACTTAGTTAGAAGAACGAATCTAATAAACAGCAATAATTCAGACTTTATCTATCTTAATTAAGAAAATGAACAAGTACGTCATAAAATCATTAAACTTAATATAGATAAGCATGAGTTTTGGTGGAATATGCATGTATTTCTTGTGCTGAAGTTGGATAGAGCTCATCGAGTTATTTAGAAAAAAACTTGGTTTTTGATTTTCGGAAGATATTTTTTTGGTAAAATATTGATTTTTTAAGAATAGGTAAAAATGAGAAAATGTTTGAATGATAAGTAAAATCTTCATGTTTGTTTGTATTTTAAAATTCAAGCACATTTTTTCTTATTTTCCATTTAGATCTGACGAGCGAAGGTCCCTAACTGATAAATCGCTTTTGAGTCGAAATCTGATGGATTGTAGATTATCGATCACGCTGATTCAGAATATGACCATGGGGATTCCCTATAGCCCTTCGAAGATCCGATATTCTAGAACACCCGTTTTTCAGAAACTCTAAAAACTAACTAAAGCTTTTATTAATGAGGTTTGATTGTAACCCGCAAATTTCTGATTAAAATGAGCTATTTCCCAGCTCTACACGACCTTTGTCAATATCAAGAAAGATACTATCTTTCTTTGCAAAGTTATGGGATTTACAAGAAAAGCCCTAAATGTTCATCGTCAGCTCAAAGCTACAAAAGTAAGAAGGAAAAAATTAATTTAGGGCTTATGTTGTAACTTCTATAACTTTGCAGAGAAAGATCGTGTAGGGCTGGGAGATAGCTCATTTTAATCAAAAATTTGCGGGCTACAATCATACCTCATTAATAAAAGCTTTAGTTAGTTTTTAGAGTTTCTGAAAAACGGGTTTTCTAGAATATCGGATCTTCGAAGGGCTATAGGGAATCCCCGTGGTCATATTCTGAATCAGCATGATCGATAATCTATAATCCACTAGACTTCGACTCAAAAGCGATGTATCAGTTAGAGACTTTCCCTTGTGAGTCTGGAAAGCTAATTTCCAGGCTCAATTTTGAATGGAAAATACGAAAAAATGTCTTTGGAATTTTAAAAGATGGCCAAAAAATTTTACTTATCATTCAAAAATTCTCAATCTTAAGAATCATATTTGAAAATTTTTTCACCGAAAAAATGTCTTCCGAAAATCTAAAATCAAGTTTTTTCTAAAACTAGCATAAGAGAAGTGGAAAAATATTCTGCTCAACTTTTTGAATTTCCAACACCTTATAATGTTGAAGACCTAGTAAGTGACGAAGTGAAACACTGAAAATCGAAATGTGAGAACCACTTTACATAAACATACATTAACGCATTACGCCTTAACTACATATTCATGTACTTCTTCAAAGAGGCTAGGTGGATGAAATGTATGAATTGTTGTTTTTAAATATGATGAAGAGAATAGAAAAGAAGAACGTACCTCACATTTGGATTTTCTGCAGAAACGAGAAAAGTAGAAAATAAGGATATTATTTTTATTTCTATATTTTTCACTGTTATCCTATATCTTCTCATATACACACTATCACAAAAAAATGTATTTTTTTAAGCGTGTGCACCAGAGACAAAACAATGTTATATGGTATTTTACTTGAAAGTGCTCGAGATGGTGTTCGTTCTGTGTATGGACATCAGACATGGAGACGTATTGTGCAAGAATTAAATTTTGAACATGATTCATTTACAACATTGGGACGTTATGACGAAGATCTTATTGAAAAAATCGCCTTATGTAAGTTAAAGAATTTAGTTAAACTTTTTCTAATCTTTTTTCAAGCAAATGAGTGGATCGTAATTATCTTAAGCCTTCCCTCCCCACTCAAAAATCTATTTTGAAGAGAGAGTATTTAACCTTAACCAAATTTACAGAGAATGTTAGCCCTATCAAGGTGCGTTTACAATAAAATTTGAACTTGAAATGATGCGTTTTGTTTTCTCAGAGTTATTCCAGATACCAGGGTCAAAAAGTAGGTCGTGCCATTCACAAGATTTTCCCTCTATTTTAACTTCTAAAAATCTCGGGTTAGCCTTAAACTAAAGAGAAAACTTGGCGCTATGACATGGCAAAAGCCCAATTTTTAAAATTTTTGTTTCTGATCGTTTCCCTAATGGTTTACGTCGAAAATCTGAAAATACTATGGGCTGATTTTACGGAATACTTTTTTAATCTCAAAAACTAATATGAAAATCGAAAAATTGGCCTCTACTCTCTCTCTTAGCATCGAGTTTTCTCTTTAATTTAAGACAAACCCGAGACTTTTAGAAGTTAAAATAGAGAAAAGATCTTGTGAATGGCGACAGACTTCAGATAAAAACGTAATTTCGAGAAAGAAAATGAAAAAAAATAGTTCTTTTGCCTTCAAAGCCTTTAGGAAAACCACTTTAATCTACTCAAAAATCAATGTAAAACCAAAAGTCTGTAGTGTACTCGAAAGCAAATATTTTTGGCTATTCAGTCATCTATAAATCTCAAAATCGATGTTTTTGAGTGAAGGGATCCTTGAGGTAGTATCTTTATATTATAAGCATGTTAAAATTCTTCCGTGTTTCATGTTAGATAAGTTACTTTGAATTACTCATAATAACATGTGATAACGTATCTAACTTTGGAATTCATGTCAAGTAAAGATTTTTAAATAAACATTAGTTTTTTCCAAAAATTTATGCTAAATTTTATTATCGATTTAATTTAAAAGCTTATCATAATTAATTGTAGGTTTAGCGGATATTCTTCATGACGGTACACCGGATAAGTATATGGAATTTTTCGGTGAATGTTTTGTTAGATTTTTTACAAATTATGGCTATGATAAAATATTACGTGTAGCTGGTAGATACTTTCGTGATTTTCTTCATTCAATTGATCAATTGCATGACAGTACAAGATTTAGTTTTCCAAAAATGAAATCTCCATTGTTTCATGTTATAGAAGAAGATGAACATGGTGTCGTATTACATTACAAGTATATTTTCTTGTACGATATATAATATGATGTTTTTTCTTTTTTCTAATATTATTGTAGATCAAAACGTCGAGGATTTCAATGTTATATTATTGGTCAATTGAAAGAGTGTGCATCAAGTTTTTATAATGAAGAAATTTATGTTCGAGTAAAAGACGATATATCAACAGCCGACTGTAAGATATTTAAGAATAATAAATCTTTTAAAATTTATATCACGAACAATTTATAGAAGATATATAATATTTTTTCTTTTAGATACACGTATCCTCTTTCGTGTAGATTTTAACAATGATATTGTTAAAAAAGTATCCAAACGTTTAATCAATGTTCCAACATTACCGGATATAACAAGTGGAACATTTTTTCGAGTATATTTATTTTATCTTTCTACGAATCTATATGAATATTGAACATTTATTATTTAAGGTATTTCCATTTTGTATTTTAATTGATCCATCTATGCGTATATATCATGTGGGAAAAAGTATCAAAAATTTATTTTCTGATGATACCTTATTTTCTGGAAGATATTTAAAAGATCTCTTTCAAATAATACGGCCAGATATTTTACTTGAATGGGAGAAAGTAAGTGATATACCTTTATAAATATTAGTGACTACTTCATAAATAGTTTTATTATTATATTTTGTTTTTTTTTCAGCTATTATCATACGGTCGTCATATTGTTTTTGTTATGGAAAGTAAAATTCCGTTGCGTCCAGCTGTTAGTACTTTACATAAGAATACAGGTATTGCAACTATTCGTTTAAAAGGTCAAATGAAATTCATCACTACTTGGAATATGGTCGTATTTCTAAGTCATCCAGTGTACGTAGTTTCAACATAACATTTTTAAATGAGAAAAAATTAAAGAATAACAATCAATCTTTTTTTACAGATTATCAACAACTGAAGAAATGGTATCAATTGGTCTATCTTTACATGATTTAAATTTTTATGATGGAAGCAGCGAGATTCTGATATCTGGAATGCAACATGCTCGACACTTACAAGCAGCAATTGACAAGGTAGAGCAGTCATGTTCCAGTCATTAGAACTGAGATGACGCATATTTATTTATCTTAATTGAAATTCACAAACACTTATACAGTTTACAATATGTCATACAGCATCTAATTGACTTAACCACTCTAACTTCGATCAACTAATGTCGTATTTTTCTGACGTCTATGTCATTTTTTAATGCATGAATTTTAAGGAAATTTAAAGTATCCAACAGAAATTGAAAAACTTAATCCAAAATCTCGTGGAAATCACGACTACTGGATCAATTGCAAATAAATGAAAAAGAGTAAATTTAAGACTTGGATTTTAACAATAAGTTTTAACAAAAGAAAAGGATCATCTCGGTACAGTAATAATGAATACACACGCCAGATGCTATAAGTTTCATGCTGCTGTTTTAACTCTTTCACTCTGTCCTCACCTTCCTGAGTGTTCTTCTGTTACGATGAAAAGAAAGTAAAGTTAATATTAGATTTTTTTCTGTTTATATCTACGATCAACTGTTTTACATGCTGTTAGGGGGAACATTGAACTGCAATGCCCGATTTATTTAATCTCATGTTAAATATGCAAAAAACTGAACTGTTAAATATGCCAGAATAAACTGAACTGAACTGTTAATCTGTACAGGATATGCTATTATGCTACGCGCAATATCTTGATTATGTACAATCAATTTCAGAGATAAATTTCGATGGATGATAATAAAGAAATGCCGAGAAATACAAAATGATCTCATTCTTATGTTTGAATACATCACTTAAATTTCGTCTGCAACATATATATTGAACACTTTTCATAATTTTTCACAGATTCGAAACAGTAATAGCTGAATCAATTATCTAATACTTTAATTCTTGTATATTATTTTTAGCAACATGCCTGGATAACAAAACTACAACATTCACGAGTTGAACTACAAGAATGGCGTCGAAAAGGAAAACGTTTATTGTATTCAATGATCCCAAGACATATTGCACAAATGTTACAAGAAGGTGTTATCGCTAATACAATATGTGAAGTAACGTTTTCTCAATGTATGGTAATTGTTTATAAGCTGAAAAATACTATTTTAGTCACATAAAATGATTACGGTTTTGTTTGCGTACGCAGTGGATTTTAAAGAAGTTATACAAAAGTTGCAGCCAACAGACATTGTTGTGTGTATTAATCAAATGGTGAATGTTTTTGATAAATGTACAGACAAATTTGATGTATTCCGAGTAAGTTGCTTACTTATGATGTTTCATTATTAAGTTTATGAGCATCAAACTTTTAGTTGGAAACAAAAGCGGATTCGTCATACATAGCTGTAGCAGGCATCCAAGATCGATTAGCCAATAGACGTGAATCAGATTCGGTACGTTCAACTAAACAGCAATCCATCACATTGAGAATCACTATAATAAAAAAAATATATTTAAAAAAGACTGATGTTTAAAATATCATTTTTAACAGTACTAGAAAGATCAATGCTATCTAGCACAACAGCAGATGGCCACAATGAATAAATTCCTCCGTGTTTTTTATATAATTTTTTTTCCGACTAAACTACTACTTCCGAAGTATCGAGGTTCAAAATTATGCGTTTAATATGGTAAGGTTCTCACACAACTGACGTTCCAAAGTGTTTTATTTTGAAAAGATCTGAGCCATCTCTCACCTTTGTTCATGCATTGATTTGCATCAAATTGGGTCTTTGTTAACTTTCAAGTGTGCTCTTGCTAGTTGTGAGTTGCTTAAACTTGAGTGATGTATCATAATGCTTTATTTTCTCTGAAGTATATTAAAAGCAACTAAATCTTGGATTTTCCGCTCATTGCAGTGGCAGTTTGGAGCTTCGTAATCGTAAGAATTCGACTAGTAGTTTTTTTGCACTGAATTGAATCGACTAGCGGCTTTTGAGAAAAAACCCTAAAATAAGAAATAGAAGAAAAAAAGCTGTATCAAAAACACTAAGGAATTTTATCCATTTTGGATCAGTTGTTAGTTATTTCATAATATCAAACAACTAAAAGCTACTTCACGCGTTAGAACAATGACTTCATAACAATTATGGTTGATGAATATCGTCTCTTCCTGTGTTTCAATTTATTCGTTCTTTCTATTGTCTGTGACTAAGAACACAACAGCAGATAGTTAAGAACGAAGACAATAAGTTTGTATGAGACCTGCGGTTTTCAGTTTTGAAAACTAGACACCTGACCACATATTTCTGTAAACAAAAGCGAACTTCGAAAAAGCTTCTGAAGTGGGTTTTTCAGAGGATTTTTGGGAAACTCGCTTGGGTTTGCCGAAATTTACATAGGAATGTATTGATTTTTTTCATGGACTGATAGCCCGAGGTGTTCTCTTCAAAATGGGAGTAAAGTGAGGCCTTGATTTTCTGTGGTTTGGACGTTATATCGGATTTTCGACGAGGAAATACTCTAACCCCCCATAATAGAAGTCCCACCCCCCCGTATTAGAAGCCCAAGGGCTTCTATTACGTCCGAAAAATAATTTAAACTTTTTAAACGACAAATCACTCGAACACTTTTGGAAAAAGTAGTCTAATGTGTGTTTATTGTGTACCTATCTGAACTCTTTTTTTTTTTACTTTAATTGTTCTTATGTGATGTCCTGTGTAAAAAAAGGAAACGAATAAAATTGAGGAAAGTGTGTTTTGATCACCTGTTCACTTGTATATTAATAAATTCTTTAATATCTTTAATTTAAATTCTTTAATATAAAGTCTTTATATTATTTTTCTTGTCTGTCTATTCATTAATCAGTAATCATTGCTAATTAATTGCTATATATTCTTCTTATATATATTTTCTTTAATTTAAATGTTCTTTAATTGATTTGGTGATCAAAAGTGTAGTTTTTTGGTGATTATTTCGATAGAAATAAATTTGGTGATCAAAAGTGTAATTTTTGGTGATCAAAAAAATACATACCCAATAAAATTTATATTTTTTATCTCGAAAAAGATTTTTTTCCGATTAATTGAGATTACCGTGATTAGAAAGGCAAGAGCATCGAAATCCAAAATCTCCTTTTTTTTCTGGAATTTTTTGTACGAAAGTCGTAATAGTAGCCGCCCTAAAAATTTTGAACGCTTGAACAGTTTAGAAGCCCTGGAGGCTTCTATTATGGGGGGGTGAGGGTTACATTCTGAAGTTTTGAGCTTGATGTGATGCTTTTTGAGTGAATAGTGAATTTTTTAATATTAGGTGAAAACAGCCTGAAAACCCCAGTTTTCGTAAAACTGGCTTTTCGATAGATTTTTAAAACTTTTTCTAGAAAAAAATATTGCCACGAGACTCAGCATGGTCGATTATCTATAGTCCACCCGTCTTTAAGGCTACTAAGAATCACCTAGTGCCAGTCCTGGAACTCGTCGAAAATCCGATACAACGTCCAAACTACAGAAAATCAAGGTCTCACTTTACTCTCATTTTGAAGAGAACACCTCGGGCTATCAGTCCATGAAAAAAAATCAATACATTCCTATGTGAATTTCGGCAAACCCAAGCTAGTTTTCCAAAGATCCTCTGAAAAACCCACTTCAGAAGCTTTTTCGAAGTTCGCTTTTGTTTACAGAAATATGTGGTCAGGCGTCTAGTTTTCAAAACTGAAAACCGCAGGTCTCTATCTCATTTCTGTGAAAAGTTATTCGACAAATATCCATTGTATTTTGAAACGCATTAAAAATTCGAAAAACTTCCTTAATGAGTTTCTCATCCATCAATTAGTCAATAATTAAAACTTTGACTGGATTCCATAAAATGAAAAGGTATCCTTGGAATTTTGGTTTGATCTTTATTAGGATGGAGAAAAAGAGAGTCATATAGTACTAACAGGAGTAGAGAAGCTACTTCAACAGTAAAAGTTTTCTATATAGGCTCTTACTTTTGAATAAAAGCATTTTCATGTGATGTAAGCTCTTCTAATAGTTTAATATCGATTGTACGTGTTTTTTTCGTAGAGTTCCTCAACAATATTAAGTAAATCGTCATCGGGAGACGTTATTCACGATTTAAAGAATCCGCTGGGCTTGAATCAAGCAGAAACAATTTCTGCTCTTGCTTTAAATTTATTAGTAAATGGTAGAAAATTAACTAATCCAGCAACAAAACAATCCTTTCGACTTAAATTTGGTAAGAAATTTTATATTTAAAATCTATAATATGTAAAATTATATTTTTTGTAGGATTTCATAGTGGACCAGCCGTTGGTGGAATAGTAGGAAATAAAAATTATCAATACTGTTTATTTGGAGATACAATTAATACAGGTTCGAATTCGATAGTCAATAAATCATATTGAAATTGATTTTTATCCTTATTTTCATAGCTTCTCGTGTAGCAACGACTGGCGACGTAAGTTAGATACAAACTTGTTATTATTCGGTTAATACTATGGATTTAGGTAATGTTTCTTTTTCTTCTATAGGTTGGTCGAGTCCATATAAGCAAGGTATCTTATGAATTATTAAAAAATTCACGTTATTTCGATACGGTGTACAAAGGAAAAACGAAAATGGAGGTAAGAGACAGCAGATAAGTTGTCATTCGTTGATTATTCGTTTTCTATATTCGTTGGAATAATGATAAGTCTTCTAAAATTGTTTGTTACAAAAGCATTCGACATTCTACTCAAGACATTTAATCTTAGCGATATAGAAATGGCAAAATTATTCCTCTAAAATCTGTTTTATCAAAAGAGTTTCCATCTTGTATAATATTTATCATATGATAACAGTTATAATTAAATGAATGATTTATACCCATCTACTCAATTCATTTCTCTAGGGTAAAGGTTTTATTCATACATATTGGTTAACTGGTCCAAAAGCCCTTTATACAACAATGATGGAACAATATACATCTTACATATTGCAAGCAGGAGAAACAATCGCTTCGGATGTACAAGAAATTATGTACGATAATATAAATTCGATCACAATGCTTGGTTACTCTGAACCTCGGTCAGAGATAAAACTATTCGAAAGTCAAACTGATGATAGCCAATCAAGTGTTACAAATGAACAACGCTCATCACCAAATGTTTTAAATAAAACCGTATCTAGTTTAATGGCAACATGTCCATTTAGCGGAATAAAACTGGACAAATTTATTTAACTCCTCATTTGTTTGTATGTAATATAAATGAATTTGCACACTTGTATTTAAAACAAACTGTAGTAAATTTTTTCATCAATCTAATATTTCTTGTTCTATTGAATTCAAGCATTAATAAAACTTACTTCATCCGATTTTAACATAAACAAAATACATATAATGTTTTTAAAGCTGCAGTGGAGTCTAATTCTATATTTAGAAATGTTAATATTTCAACATCCACTAAATTCAAACTTTAATAAAGACTATAGATTTGTAGAAATCATAAACAACTATGTATATAGTGTGAAGTAAGAATATTTCTACACAGCTCAGCCCAAATTTTATACGACATCAATCAGGCAAGGTTTTACTATGCGGAACTAGAATATTATTTCAAGTCATATTGAAAGTCTTGTATTTTTTTCGGCAGTGGTAGCAAAATATCCTTTTTTAATGAAGCAAGATAGTGATTTCACTGTTAGTTCTGAATAGATACAGGTCAGAAAGAGCATAAAAAATTATATATATTCCGTCTCAAACTGATTTGGCTGGTAAGATTTTTTATACAAAAATGTTTATATAAACCTCTTGAGATATTATTATCTTAGAATATTAGTCGAGTAATACTACAAAAGCTCTGAAGTTTTCATTTCGGTTTTCTAGAAATCTTTGCTAAAAGCTGTACTTTCAAATAACTTTTAGATAAATGAAGAACAGTAAACCATGGAGTATTTTTGTAGCTAAATAGGAATTCGTGATTACGTCCAGTTTCTTATGACATATGAGAGTAGAATTTTACCAAGGATTTATGGAAAAACAGCATCAAAATATTTTTACGGGTGAATCAATATTTGACAGCCTTTGTCGAGCTACTCAAATAGTAACAAGGATGATAATATCTCGAAAAGTTAACGCATAGTTTTTAAGAGGATAGTTCACAAAAGTTCAAAAGTATGTCTCATGTCAGGAGCTATAATATTGTGACTGGACAAAAAGTGCATTGTGTATTAGTGTCACTTTGTTTCTTTTACACTTTCAATAGTTTTGATCGAATCGAAAAACGTAAATTTGGACAAATGATATATTACTCATAAGAAAATTTTTGTACTTAGAAATACAAGAAGAATTTACTTTTGGATAAAGCATATACAAAACGGGATTCTGCTACCATTGCCTCTCAAAAACGCCGCTATCCCTAGTAGCATTCTCGCTTCATTTCGCATCATCTCACCGCGATCTTGACAAGAAATTCGAAATTTTTAGAATGTCTATCGCAATCGGCCATAATCTTGATCTTTACTCCGTGTGACGAAAATTTCACTATCTTGATACGAAAATTTCTTGACGATATCGTGTTGATATCACGCAAGAATCCAATAAGATTGTAATAGGACCGCCATGTGAAAGCATCAACAGTATCGCCACACGATTGTGCCAAGATTCCGGTGCTATCAGAATTAAGTTGTATTTGGGCTAAAGAAATTTTCACGTGATATATCTGTTTCAGCTATCTTCTTGACGGCTGTATTCTGTTGATTTCATCATGTTTTCCTCTGTCTTTTCATCCAGAACATGATGCAATCAGTTTTCTGAGTTTTTATCTATAATTGGGTTTCCACTGTACATGTTCTTCATCAAAAAAAGGCAAACAATAAAGGAAATGTCATTTCTAACTTAGGATAGTTCAACGCGAGTCCACAGCAAATGTGTCTTCGTTGTATTTCTCAGTTCTGATTTGTTATGTTGCCGGACTTTGCTTTTAAAATAAAAGTGAGATTATAAGGCTAATGTCTTTTTGATTCACTTGTGAGTTTTGCTGTTCAGTAACGCTTGTCGTATGTGAAGAGAACATTCACGCTTGGGCTATCAGCGAATGCGTATTCGCAGATACTATCGGTTCGTTGCTAGAGCTAATCTAGCATCCTGTGAATGAGGCGGTACAGCTTGGCACCCAATTCTCCATGCGTCAAATTGGATCAAACTGACTTTCGCTACATCCTGAAAGCCGCCAACGACAAAACGATATTACATCGAGGATACTCAATTGTGATGGCTGAATGACCTTTTGGTGCATTTCTTACATTATTTTTATTGAAATCAACTTGATTAACTGAACCTACACAATGAAGAGTAGATCTTAGTTTCGGTGCATCATCTGATATAAAGACTTTTTTTAAACCTTCAAAACTCTTAATGAGAAGATTAGTTTTGCGACAAAAAAACACAGTAGGATTTGCTTTTTCCTTGTCCTTCCTCTCAAATTGCTGTGTACTTACTCTAAAGCTAAATATTTAAAACATTTAGCTTTTATACTATTCGAATGATATTTCGAAGGATCGAAGATTAATGAGTAGGAAGTTGGGAAGGTTAAAATATTGTTTTTTGCTGAAGTGATCCGATTTGCTCCATCGATTGATTGATCCAAATTTGTCCAGTTGGCGTAAAACGGAGCAGAGGGATAGAACTCATATCATTTTAATTACAGGGAAGTAGTTAAAGTGAAGTTTAAAATAATTCTTACATCAGTCGATAGAAAAATGTTCTAACTTTATACCTGTTAAAAAGAAATTTTATGGTATTAAAAAATGACCCAGTTATTACCAAAATAGTATAAAATTTTTCAAAATGGATCCGATTTCCCTTAACTAACTCTACATAAATTCTTGATAAAAGAATGAAAGCAAAGTTCCGAATTTTATTGGACAAAGCGCATAGAAAATATAAAGAGATAAAGTATGTGTAGTCTGTATTTCGACAAGATCTCGTAGCGAACTTATTGCCATCTTGGCATTTAATCTCACCAGGATCCTACCACATTTTTGAACAAAAAACGAAGCGGACTTGTATAAAGAATTTGAACAAGATCGCAATCACAACTATACCCTAGACAAAATCCTAAGCACTTCTTGTCTATTTCTTACTAGGATCTTACAGAATCCTACATTTAGGATCCACCTAATAACTTCCCAGCAGAATCCTACTAGGTTTGAGCTTCAGTTTGTTTAGGATCCTAACAGAATCTTAGAAAATCCTATGACTTTCGGGTATACTTGATTTCATTAGGATTCTGTAGGCTTTGTTTAGGACCCTAAGAAATTAAATCGAAATCCTAGCAGAATATTGGTAGAACATATCTTGGATCCTGTCAGGAAACTCATAATGATTTTACCAGGGTAAGATCGCCATTTTATTTTGCCAAGATCAGCATTTTTTCGTTACACGGAAAAAATCGTGTGTTCGCGCTCGGATCTCAGAAAGAATGAAACAGGAGTGCCACCATTAGGAATTTTTCTTAGATCAGAACTACTACATGACTTGACATAAGCTGCAAGGTGCGCATAAAAAGACCTAGTTGATGATCTTAAAATGTTCTTTTAAAATTAAATACGAATCCTGGGAGAGGTATTCCACCTACTTTTAAAAATTCTACGTTAATAGTCTCAATGCCTGGAAATGGATTTTACATGTCAACTTCATAGTTTTATTGCTCAAAGAGTGCAAGTGACAGCGAAATTAACTCTTCCTTCATACTTGAATTTCATTTGTTGTTATAAAGAATGATTTGTGAGACAGTTATGTTTGTTTTCTTCTTTGTCAAAATAAACGTATATTACAAGCATCTGCCAAAAACGTCGATGTTTAATTGTTATATAAATATGAAGAGAAATTGTTATTTTGTAACAGTAACACGTTCAAATGATCGTTTTTTATTTGCTTTTTTTATTCATTATTCTTTACACTCGCTCTTTCTCATTACCTTTTATTCACCAAGGAAAAAAAGAATGAAAGCACTAAATGTTCAACAAAAAACATATTTTGAAATAGCTATTAACATCCAAAAATTGGAATATATTTATTCTTATTGAGAATTGTTCTATTAGGCATAAAGAGTTTGATATTTAACGAGATTCTATTGACACCTTACTCTTTCTATTGTTGTTATCCTGCACAGGCTAGAATCTTCTTCCGTGTTCGATTGTTTCCTCATTTAGAATAAAACCATTCAAATGTGCACGTAGAATATACTTTGAGTTATAGCAGCATCAAGCCACAATTGAATTGTATACGTGGCAATGCTGTTTATTGGATTTTTTATCAAATATATAACTATATTCTAAAACGTTTTTCTGTTTTTTTTAGTATTGTGTTCTCCAGCACCTTATGGAGGAGCTTTTTCAAATATTACCACAGTTTTTCTTTGAAAAATACTTGGCTATGGGCAATTTTTGATGCTTAATCCCGACTCTTATATACATACGTGTTCATAAAACCTTTCAACTTTTCTATTCATATTCGGAATCTTTACTAGTCTATTAAAAATTTTAGTTTAAACAAATTCTTATGATGCCAGATTGTAAAACAGTTTGAGTTACATATGTACACAAATTATTGGAACTAGTGACCATGTCCTCATGAAGTATAAAATTTTAATTTCTGGTGAAGTGAAAATAGTCAGAACTTTATAATATAAAGCATCGTAAAAGTTTTATATCTCGGCGAAAACTGGTCTAATAGAGATCACATTAGATAAAAACGACAGTATGTTAGTGAACGAGTACTTGTCAGACTAAATGGAAAGAAGAATGAATTTATCTAATCGTATTGATTATATGTTTTATGTAAAAACAACATTTCATTGTCATACTAACATGTGTTATTGTTATTATTTTCTAATATATGATACTTTAAAGTGGAATTAACACATATTTACAGTAATACATCCTAAATTTTTGTTCGTTCTGTGTTAAATTTTCACTTTTATCAAATGTACTCATTTGTTTTTTAACTCACTTACATATAGATCTGATGACTTTCCTGTAAGCGTCTCCCAGAGGTTTAATACACCTACTAACAGAAAGTAGTAAAGAAACAGCTTCATTTTTCTTCAGAAGCATCTTGATCTAACAAACTTGCCTATGTGTTTTTTAATAGTTTATCAGTTATATACAGAAAAGGATTATGTGCGATTCCTAATAACATCATTTAACGTATGAGGAAAATATAATAGACTTTAATGA